TCAGAAGATCTGGAGAGAAACAAACACCACCCTCAACCGATCTTCTGAATCCAACAAACGCTTCGCTGACTCCAGGAGACGTCCCGCCCCCGAGTACACTGAAGGTCAAGAGGTATGGCTGTCCACTAGAGACATTCCCCTTAAGGGGATGTCTCGAAAACTCTCGCCCAGATTCATAGGTCCCTACAAGATCTCCCGAGTCATCAGTCCCTCAGCCGTCCGTCTCCAACTGCCTCAGTCTCTCCGGATCCACCCAACCTTCCACGTGTCCCAAGTTAAACCTGTCATCTCGAGTTCTCTGTGCCCGCCTTCCGACTCCCCACCACCCGCCCTGGAGATCGATGGTCATCCTGCCTTCACCATTCGACGCATCGTGGACTCCCGTCGACGAGGTCGCGGCTGGCAGTACCTCGTCGACTGGGAGGGCTACGGACCGGAGGATCGCCAGTGGGTTCCGGGCTCGTACATCCTCGACCCTGCCCTGATCGAGGAGTACGAGCGTTCCTGCCCTACGACCTTCGACGGTCGTTGGGGGGGGGGGGGGGGGTACTGTTGGGAGCTGGAGAAGTTCCACCTTTCTCCAGCAGAGTCCGCCGTGGATCCTTCTGAGTGAGCCTCCTGCACAGCTGCAGCCCATCAAGATCATCAGAGGATCCACTATATAAGCTGTCTTCAGACCTTGCCTCAACGCCGCAGTGTTGATCCAGTTGGTCAGCGCCTAAGCCTAGACTCTCAGTGTATCTTCATGACTTTGAATCCAGCCAGGATTCTAACCGTTGTCTCTATCTTCCAGGAAACCAGTGTCTCCTCTATGAAGCTCTGGAAGAGCTATCCTGCCGAGCCGACCCTCAGAGCCAAACCCGAAGAACCATAGAGAACTTCCATGCAGCTCAGGACTAAGAGCTGGAATACCCAAAGCCAAGGTCTGTTCATTTGTAGACGTGAGACGCTGAAGCAGCAAGCGGACTCTGCTGATCAACTCCTCTCCAGATCCAACAGTGACTCTCCCAAAGCTAGCCTCAAGAACCCTCAAGGTACAATCAGTTGTTATCAAGAAAGCAAGCTCCAACGTGCAACGCTAACTGAACTGTCTCTCACGCAGACTCCGGTGAACCAGTATCCAGGCCCGAGCCAGAACCAGTACATTCTGTGTGCTTGTGTCAAAATAAACTTGTTGAACTTTTATTCCTGTGTCAGTCAGTGGTGTTCTGCATAATTGGGTCACTTTTAGAGTACCCATCATGACAGAAAGAAAGAAGGAAAGAAAGAAAGACGCACAGGCACACAGAATGATTCCAACATGTGAAGTTGTGATGAAGCATTAAAGAAAGATAGGAAACAATTATTCAAAGCCCTGGCAAACAAAGCCTAGCTTATTGCAACAAGACATTGACTTTGCAGCAATTCTTCCCTTTGAGCAAGCATGCGTCAACCACTTCCTTTTTTCTGCAGAAAAAACAAATTATAGAAAAAGCCAAAAGGTTCTGTCTTAGAGCAACATTTCTCTATTAGGAACAGAAGGAACAATGATCTCTGAGATAAAACTTGATTATTCAGAGCTTTATAAACAAGAAGAAGAATGTTCGGTTGTAATCTCGATTTAACTGGGAGCTAATAAAGAGAATCTGAGATCAGAGTTTTGTGTTTTAAACAAAGATTGTCTGTTTCTCAAACGACGCTGAGGAAACTGATCAAAACTTTTATTTGGTGCTTTGATATGAAGTGACTCAGCTGATGCTTCCCTTTGCAAAGTTCCTCAGCAGAGTAAGATGTTCATTTACTGAAGACTTCTTGTAGCGTGATGTGGCTTTAAGACGAGATGAGGAGACAATATATCAGTTGTAGTCCTTTACAAGCAGAAGTCAATGATGGGTACAAACACGACATTATTGCTTACTAGGAATGCTTGATGAAATATATTATTCATTACAATATTTTTTTTTCCTAGACTGCTTTTAAGAATGCCTTATTCTTGTTATCTCAGTTTAATTTAATTATTTTTGTGTTATAGAGCAGGGATGGGCAACTCCATCCTCTATCCTAAGAGCTCTAGGCAAACATTGTTGTGAGTCTTGATGCCTTTACTTTACCTAAGGGGGAAAGGGAACAAACGGTTGCACCATCAAATAGCATGTATCTATAGTATATAAATATTATTTCACTTGTTCTCTTTAGCCCTTTTCCTTTTATATATCCATCCTAAAAGCAAAAGGATGAAAGAGAATAAGTGAAATAACAAGCAACAAACAAAAAATACAGATTTAAAAAATAAGCATTGTTGGGTCTAATAGATAAAGCATTACCAATAGTATTTATCATCCCAAAAGTTGTAATAAAAGTTTCATTGAAGTATAAGAATATTTCATTTGTTATACTATAGCATATGAAGGTTCACATTCTTAAAACAAAGAGTTGCAGCCAGATAGTGAAATTGCATCTAGTCAATTAAAGTTTATCTTTAAAGGTTTTTAGACCTTTGGACAGATGATAAGAGAGGGAATCCTTTTTCATTGTTATAAGCTTTTCATACAGTAAAACTGATTGTTAAAATGTTCTTCCCCAAGTATCCTATCAAACCTATACAATTCTATTTAATATTTATTTTTCCATTAAGTTATCTACGCCTATTTTTGTACATTTGTATGCAAGCTCAATGCTGATCTACAATTTACACATTTTTGCTCTTGTGCATGAACATAGTTTTGTTGTTCTAAAACTAAGCAAAGTTTAAGAGGAACCACTGATCCTTCACCAGGGTGGATTCGTAGGGTTGAAAAGTCAAACTAAAACAGATCTGCAGCTTTTCATGTCATCTGATCTGACTCTATTGTAGAGTTTAGTCACTTTAAAGAATTAAGTAGAGGTAAACTTTTCATCTGCATTCCTCAGTGTTTATTTACAGCAGTTAGATGGATTCAGTCAGAGGTAGAGAGGTGGTAGGTTCACACCTGAAAACTGAACACGAGGCACAAACTTTTTCAGTTTCATGTCTTTATTTCTGAGACATCAAATACTTTCCTAGCAGCCACCAGGGGCCGTTTTACCGAGGACCCCCCAACCACCACCACCACCACCCACCCATATTCTCCCCTCCACCAGCATAAGCTCTGCAGCTTCAAAACATCAACAGAAGTTGGAAAGCTGTAAAATTAGCAGAAGCAGAGATAAAAGCCCAAATTCACAGAGCGTCTGCAGCAGCTGGAGTTCATACCAGCTCACAGCGGGAGGCACACTCTCACACTCCTAATGAGTTCCAGAGCAGAGAAGAAGAAATTGGCTGCAGGAGCATGTTTATAACTAACAAACAAGCTTTAGAGAACATCACTGTCACTGCAGTGAGCTGCTGGAGCCTCCTCTGTTCATCTCTGCTGGACCTACAGCATGTAGCATGTACAGGCCTGCAGGCTGTTAGGCTGAGGTTTGAAGTGGTTCCTAACATCTCAGGAGAACTGTAAGGGTCTGAACTATGAAGATCAGACCATACAGGGCTCTGCTCATAATATCACACCATGTCAGATGCACTCAAATCTATCAGAGACATTTGAGACCAAATCGTTCCATTTTCTTGTAGAATGGACCTAATTGCAGATAGTAGATTATTTAGTTGATAATTGTTCAGGTTAATCAGCTCTATTCATTTCTGGACTTTAGTTTCTTTAGTCCTAAAACCTAATCCAGCTTGTTCCCTTCATTTTATGTCAGATCAATATGCAGCAGCCAATAAAAGATTGGGAAGGTGCTTGCAGATATCTGATTTTCTGCATGAATGATCCTTAGTGAATTATTTAACATTCAGGGAAGTTTGGTTGAATTTATATTTGGCTTTGAATTCCCTTGGTTAAAAACTCTGTTTGAAACAAAGACAAACCCAATAAACTCTGGTGGAAGGTCCAAAAGAAGTACCTCTGTTATTTTATTTATTCTGGAGTCCTGTTTGGTAAATGACCCAATAGACGCAGCAACTGACTGGAAAATAAAGCTATCTAATAAAACAGAAAATATACAAAAGCTGCCATGAACACAGGACATGGAGCTAGGACAGAACAATAGGCAGAAAAGACTTACAGGAGGAAAAAACAATGAGAACCATTAAAATACTTTACTGAGGGAAGTGTGGAGAATGACATTGAATGAAGGAGAGTTAATCTGAGGATTATGTGGAGCAGCTGAGGAAGAAGAAAAGCTTGGAAACTGAAGGAGTGGACTAATTAACATAAACCTACTAAGACATAAAGAAACTGTTCAGCCAAGGTAAAAAGATGACATGATTAAAATAAATCTAAATGTACAAGAACAAAGAACAAGAATTAACAATGAATCTAAACACCAGGGATATGTGGTATAAATACTCAAATGTGATGAATTAACAAAAAGAATTCAAAGGTGATTAAAACACAAATCGGAATATTGTTTAACATGCATCAACAAATTCCTGTCTTTCTTTACGTCCTTAATTCAAACTTTATGGCTTTAGAGAATTAAAGCTTATAGTGCTTCACATCCAATAAACTGCAGTCAAATTGGCTGTGAAAGTAAGAGGGATACTTTATAGTCCAACAGGCCTTGGATACACTATTAGTAAAGGAAGACCTGGAGCTACCTTCAGGGGGAGAGTGAGCAAAATTCAGAGAAGCAATCCTCATTTACCATTCATTTGATTCAGGTGTGTTGGAAACTTTTACATTAGAGAACCAACAGCAGTTTGTTCATATTGCAGTTACTACATGTTGTTTGCTTTGGACATTTAATATGTTCTTTGAACTCTAGTCCACAAACGTAAAGATAACCCCTGACTAAGGAGTTCACAAATCAGTACAAACTTTATTTTTCTAAAGTTTAACATCCATAAAATTCAGCTGATGTGTTGTTCGCCCGGCAGTTTATAATTTCTGTTTGATCTGTGGCTTCACTTTTATTTAAAATTTTTTTGCCTCTGCCGATAAACATTTCCCAGTCTACGTGATTAAATAATTTTCTGCATGTTTGTGTTTGTTTTCCAGACGCTTACACAGACGAGGACCTGATGCTGTACTGGAAGAACGGGGATGAGTCCCTGAGCACCGACGACAGGATCTCTTTGTCCCAGTTCCTTATCCAGAAGTTCCACACCACATCCCGTCTGGCCTTCTACAGCAGCACGGGTACGGATCTAATTATCACCACTGCTGGAACCCCCCCTCCGGCGGCTTGGTCCTGGGAGGAATCACAGAAATTACTTTTATCACATTCTTCCCACATGTTTAATCTTGAAACTAGAGCAGCTAGAGCTGATCATGTTTTATTGCCTGCTGTGAAAGTGGCTAAACAACGAAAGGGATGAAATATAAAGAAGATTCCCTCTTAAATTTTTTGTATAATTTAGTCAAATTTAACTTGTTTGCTAAGAAAATGCAGCTCAAAACAGAATGTTTTCGCCTTTTCTGTGATTTTCCTTCAGCTGGACCTTATTTTACTTCAGCTTGGTTCTGTTCCTTTCTTTGGATTGGTTTTGCAGTATTAGTTCCTATTTGTTGGTTGTAGTTTAAAATTTTACTTTGGTTTCCTGCAGCCTCTTACTTTTTTACCAGTTTTTTTTTTTAGCCTCACCTCTCTGTTTTGTATTGTTTTTGTTTTTTTCCAGTCAGACAGGGTCCCACAGTATGGCGGGCTCTGCAGTTCAGACTTTGGAGCAGGAAAGAGGGGGGTTAAAAAAAGAATCTTTGCTGCATATTTCTGTTTAGCTGCAAAAGAGATAAAATGTTGATGTATTGATTTATTGTCCTGTTTCTGATACTATCGCATCAAAAAGAGAAAATGTGTACCAGATTTTAAGCGCAAGGAAAGCTCTCTCTCTGAAAACCGATCACATTGGAATGAAATCTTTTTAAGAAATTCAGATCTAAACAACTAAACTGATGCAGAAGTTCAGCTAAGAAAAACAGAAAGCTCCTCCGTCAGTAACGCGGAGCAGGGCTGTCGAGTTCTGAGAGGTGTGATGAATATTTGAACATTTTGTGTCATACTGATGATAAAACAGAGCAAGGTAAAGTAAAGCTCCAGACATCTTTGAAAACAAACACGGATGTGGAAACAGTGTTATGTAAGGAGAATCAATGGACCGGCCTGACCCGTCACCCCTCATTGTGCTGTCTGCAGGCTGGTACAACCGTCTCTACATCAACTTCACACTGCGACGCCACATCTTCTTCTTCCTGCTGCAGACATATTTCCCTGCAACACTGATGGTGATGCTGTCCTGGGTCTCATTCTGGATCGACAGACGGGCTGTGCCAGCCAGAGTCTCCTTAGGTAAAAACACATGACAGAACCCAGAAGCTGTCGTTTTTAAAGACATTTTTGGGAATACTGTGTTCTAGAAATGCTGCTGATGTCATTCTTTGCTTCTCCTCTGAGATCTTGTTCAGGTGTTTGGTTGTCAGCGTGAACAGCTGTGTCTGTGCAGGTATCACCACGGTTCTGACCATGTCCACTATCATTACTGGGGTCAATGCCTCCATGCCGCGAGTGTCATACATTAAAGCGGTGGACATCTACCTGTGGGTCAGCTTTGTTTTCGTCTTCCTATCTGTGTTGGAATATGCTGCTGTCAACTACCTATCCACCGTCCAGGATCGCAGAGAGCGTAAAAGGAGAGAGAGGGCGCGCTCCCAGGTGAGCTTTAGACACGGTGAAGCAACTTTAATTTGTTCTTAAATCAGTTCTATTAGTTCTTGTCAGATGTCAGGTCAGTTTTGTCCATTTTTGGTTACCGTATTTTCGCTACTATAAGGCGCATATAAACTTCTTTTTTTTCCTCAAAATATGCGGTGCGCCCTATAGTGCGATGCGCCCTATGGGCCGGATTTATCAAGATCCAATTTTGCGTGCAGTAATTTGCGCTCGCAAACTGGAATTTTGCGCGAGGGGCTGAACCATGGTTTGCGGGTGATTTAACAAGAGCGATTGCGTAACTGGTGGCAGGTGCAAAACTGTTGGAGACACCCTATTTAAATGATGGTTTTGCGCGTTTTGTGGTTTGCGGCAAAGTAGTTTGTAGTTTCTACAAACTAGTGCATTAAGACATTTAAATCTTACAGTGATAAATAAAGAAAAAACTTTGGCAACCTTTATTCCCTAAGGTGGTATGTGGCTGAATTTCTACTTCACTGCAGTAAAAAAAAAACAACAAAAAAAAAAACTGGTGTTTTGTATTGGCTTGTAGAAAAATGCACATACCAAATGGCTCACAAGAAGTGACTGTGGATGAGATTACGCATCCCCGCAGCATTGGCATGTTGCTCCACAGGCGCAGGGGGAGAACCCCGACCCCGTCGGACAGCACTTCTGAAAAAACGAGATTGGGAGGTCCCAGCTCTTTCTGCAACCGTACGCTGGAATGACCCAGATGCAAAAAAGTGCAATGTTGCAAGGAGTTTTGTGATATCTGGTATTGCGTTGGTCCTCCTTGTGGCTGGCTTCAAATCCATTCTGAGTTCCCCCAACAGCTCCAAAATGGCAATGCTGGATAAACGATATGTTTTGATGATCGTTTCCTCGTTCATTCCAAAAATATTCACACAGAGTGAAAAAATGCGTTCTCTGCGTCTCCTAGCTTCATTTCGATGTCTCCTTCTTGCGACAATAACCGCTGCCATGTGTGCGCAATTACGCGTACAGACCATTTGCACCTTCTTTTGAAACATGTTAAATATAGTCAGATACCGTTAGCAAAATTGCTTTCAGGTTTAATAAATCACTTTGCGAGTGCTAAATTAATATTAGGGCTGCAACTAACGATTATTTTAAAAATCGATGAATCGGACGATTATTTTTTCGATTAATCGATGAATCGGACAAAAAATATTTTTTATATTAACCTCTTTATTCCAAAATAAACATTTTAGACAGAACAAACAAGCACACAAGTACAGGTTGCTCATTAACTGTACTGGTGCAATATGAAAAATAAATGTTTGTGTTAAAACTACGCAAACTTACATGAGAAATGTAGCTGTACATCCACAAAATATAGGGTACTTTGTTTCATAAAGCGCAAAAAAAGACATTTTTGTTTTTAAAAGCCCCTAAGGGGTTCAAACAATAGGCCCCCCCATTTCAACAAATGAGTTTTTTTAGACTAGAAGAGTTCTGCCTTTTAAGACAGGAAAGTATAGCAGTTAAAGTTGCTACTTGAGAAAATACTGAACCATAGAGATAAAAATAGCCCTGTGATTCAAATTATAAATTGTATTTGGAATAAAAATGAGAGAACTAGGGGTGCTAAAAAACACATCCTCCAAAGACAGATATTTACATGGGAATGTGGCATATAATTAATTGCAGTGACGTGCAGTCAGGGGAGGCAGGTGAGGCAGTGCCTCACCAGCCATCATGGAAAGAAAGAAAATATATAATCATAAAGTAATTTAAATTGTTATATTCATCCGGTGGTTTGTACTAAAAAATATTCATTTTTCACGTAGCTTCACCAATTTCGATTTTTATTTGTTCAAAATCGCTGAATTTTCTTATTTTCCCATTCAAATGCTTGGAAGCGATGCCGGTGAGGCAGCAGCGAGCTCTGCCTCACCTTGGATTGCGCAACCCCTGGCTCTGCGCTGGCTGCAAAGCGGAGAGAGCATGTTGCTGTACGGCGTCAATAAAATGGTTTAAACAAATGTAATATGTGAACTTATTTCTAATAATTTGGCTTATGTATATAATGTACAGAGCTTTTTGTCACCAACTGTGTTTGTGTAACGTGTTTCGTGTAATGAGCGATTATAAACGGCAGAGAACAAGTTCGAGGTGAGGCAGGCAGTTCTCTTGCCTCATGGCAGGGGGTGCTCAAGAGACTGAAAACATAAGGCAGGAACAGGACGGATCAAGGAAGGCTTTCTTCCCTGGCAGTGATCTCCATTGAGACAGAGAGACTTTTAAAACTGAAGGAAGATAAGGAGGACTTCTATTCATTTATAAGTAAAGGTAAGACAGTAATAACGTTTATTTTGTTTTGTTTTTTAAGGAAATGTGTGTTTTGTGAGCTACAGTTTGTATGTGTAAGGATGCAGAAGTGAAACATAACCTGTAAACTGCTGTCAATCTATGCATCTATTTGCAAATCTGATTCTGATGACGTCAGTGCCTCACCAGCTATGAACCTCACCGCACGTCACTGATTAATTGACATATTACTGATCTTGCTGGATTTTATTCTGCTTTACTTCCATAAATTGCAGGATCTTCTTTTACTTTATCTTTGCCAGAAGATTTAAACTTTAAAAGCCTTGCCCTCATAATTTGCAAGTTAATTTATTTATAAAGTAAATGTAAACGCTGCTTAAGCTAATTCAAATGAAATTAAAAGTAAAATAAGTAGCCAACCTTATCACTGTCTGTAACCTACTAACACGGTAAGGAAAGCATCAGATGAGCTACCTGAGAAACTAACGTTACGTTTCCCCACTTTAAAACCAAACAAACATGGTGGTTCCGTGCCATGTTAATTTCTTTTGAAAAAAGTTGCATGTTATCACCTTTTTCGCTTTACAAAGCGCAGGCTATTTTAATTATTGTGATCAATTTGCGCCGTCAATCCCGGTGCATGCGCGCTACATTTTCAGTCTGGACGCTGAGGCTCTGACTGCAGCGCTGAGAGGGACTCCTGCGGGAGTAGGGGGAGGCGCCCCATGGCAGAGTAGGAACGATACATGCTTTCACGTAAGAGTCTCCAAAAGCCGCCAGTGACACCGAAAAAAGTCGCCAGATTTGTCGCTAGTCGCTTTTTTGAAAATAGTCGCTGGAGGGGTCTGAAAAGTCGCTGAGTTGGCAACACTGCACCTGCGGCGCTGACTCGCTCTGCCATATTTTTTTTTCTTCCTCTTTCAGTCAAGAGGCAGTGATGACGGCGCGGCGGATGACGCAATAATCGCGCGACACAACTAATCGATGATGAAATTCGTTGCCAACGCTTTTAAAAGTCGATTTTTATCGATTTTATCGATTCGTTGTTGCAGCCCTAATTAATATATTTACATGTTCTCCTCCCACAAGACGCACTTTTGCGTGTAAACGCCCCATATTGCATATTCATTGCAGAAAAAGTACTAAATGGATAAGAGGCGCTATTTAGCACGTTTTAAAGACCAAATCCTTTTAGCACGCTGTTGATAGATCAGTTTGTACATTTTTTAGCGTGCGCAGGGAAATAGCTCACGTTTTTATACACGCAAACCTTTGATAGATCCGGCCCTATGTGTGTTGTTCCTGCGGACGTTGTGAGACCACCATGAGAGCGTTAAAGGGGGAAGTGTGGGCGTGGATTCTGTATAAAAGAACAGGTATGTGCTTTATGCAGAACTCCTCATCTCCTCATTGGGGAGATGATGAAGAGTGGCTGAGGGAGGTGTATGTAAAGAGACCAGGTGGTTTTTTCCACGCATCACCATCGCTGTTAATCTGTGACTCCATGCGTGCCCATCTCACAGCCGATGTGAACACCATGGTGAAACAAATGAACGCTGTGCTTGCTGTTATTCCCGGGAGGTCTGACAAAGGAACTTCAACCGCTCGACATCGGTGTGAACCGGCCGTTCAAAGTAATGCTACGTTCACACCGGACGCAGCAAGAGCAGCAAAATCGCGTCTGCTGCTTCATTTTTGCTGCTTGTACTAGTTTAGTTCTGACGTGCGGCTGAAGCAGCTTTGCAGCTCTGGCTGCGCGGTGCAAAGTGTGTCTGATGCGCGTTGGTCGGAGCTACTCTATCCTTTCTTTGCCTTGCAGCTATATTTGCTGTGATCAGTGGGAATAAAGTAGTTTTAATATGTTTTTAAGTGAGAAAGCTCACCTGAAAACTTAATCACTGCAGTCAGTTCATCCAGATTACAATCCCACCTTCCAATATTATTTCTGTCGGAGCCGCTCAGACCCCCACATACCAGCGGTGCACTGTCAGTAGGAATCCCATTCAACAGCAGCCTCTGGCGGGGTCGCCTCCTCGCGGTTCACCGTGGCAGCTGGTAATCTAAACTGCAGGCACCAGGATAATAAAAGCGAACATATTCTGCCGGCAGATTTCTGCATTTTCAGTTAATTTATGCGTCAATAAACTGTTTCAGAGGAGTGATCACAGCGCTCTGTGTCATCAGCGATGTGTCTCTCATGGCCAGCTCCCAGGTTTGATGAATACTTTGTAATAAATACATGAATAAAGCACAATCATACTCAGTTTTGCTCCCGCTCTATTTTTAAATACGCAATAGAGGTATTTAAACTTAGTAGAGGATACGTACCGCTATACTGTATAAAACCCGCGCCCTATAATCGGGTGCGCCTTATGTGTGTGTTAAATACAGTAATGGCACACATAACTGAGACTGCGCCTTTTAGTACGGTGCGCCTTATGGTCGTGAAAATACGGTAGTTTACAGCTGCTCTTTGGTCAGTTTTGACTGCTCCTAATGTCAGATCTACTAGTTCTCAGGACATTTTAACCTGATCTAAGGGGTTTACATTTCATATTAGATCAGTTTCACCTTTCCTGACATTAGTTTGACCTACTTTCCTGTGGTACAGCTGGTCTTATATCTTTTTCCCTTTGCTCTCAGAAGGCTTACTGCTGTTGAAGTCGATTATATATTACTTTTTGATTAATAACTACAACTCTCAGATCAGTTTGATCCGTTTATTACATTTAGGTACATTTAGGTATGTTTTAAGGCAGTGCAGGTTTTTATTACAGTATATAACACATTTCAGTAACTAGACAATTTAAAGCCCTGAACAAGGAAAAAGAAACAACAGGAAAACACAGAGATAAGTACACGGTGTGGGGTGGTGATAAAAATGGTAAGTTACCTGTCCGACAAACAGGAAGCCTGGGTTCGTATCCCAGCTGGAGGGAATGAGCTGCCAATGTGGGTGGTTAAGCAAGACCATTCACACTAATGCCTGCTTTGGGGAGTGGCAGTCTAGTGGTTAGTGCATTGCACTTGGAACCCAGAGGTTATGAGTTCAAGCCCCACTCCCACGGACTCCCTGAGCAAGACCCCTTGGCGCCGCACAAAGTGATGGGTCAAATGCTGAGAGTTCATTCTGTTGCTCTGTACTTGTGACAGACAAGAAAAAAAAACTATATTTATGAATAAAATGCATGAAAATATTAAAAGTTAATTTATTTCCTCTAAAAATTGGTTCTAATCTTCATAGGGTTGTCACGATACTAAACTTTTCAACTCGATACCGATACTAAGGAAAATATTCGATACTCGATACCATTTTCGATACCACAAGGATAAAAACAAAGATTCCAAAATTCAACAGAAATATTTTCATTAATAAATAAAATACAATAAATAAACACAATAAAGGTTGTATGCTGTGCACAATATTAAGCAAGCTTGATAAAAAATTTATAAAATTAAGTGTTCCTTCCTTGGCTATGCTTTGCACACATAACAATGACACTAGCCAAACCGGTTAAAAAACAAAAATAATTCTCAGCAGCTGCACCTCTTACAAAAAAAAGTCTGAAACTGAAAAGTGCACAGAATTATTCAATCACACAGTGTTCTGAAAGTGCATTTTCCTCTATTCTGCACTTTAGATGAATGACTGCTTAGGTGCCACTGGTGGTGGCACTGTATCGATACTTTTAAAAACGAGTATTGTATCCGGATACAACGTTTCAGTATCGATACTTTTTTGAGTTTCGATACTTTTGACAACCCTAAATCTTCATTTAAAACAGTTTAGGGTTTCAGCGGCTTTCCAGTTTTCTGGGAGTTTGATTTAAATTAGTGGAGCATAAAAAATAAAACCTGCTTCTCCACGTTTGGTTCTGTTCCTGTGTATGCAAAGTTGATCCACTGACAACAACTCTGTCATATATTTTTCTGCAGAGCCGTTTAGTGATTCAGTTAGACTTCCTCTTAGATTAGTTCCCCTTGCTCTCAGGGTCAGTTTTAGCTTTTAAATCATACTTATTTTGGGTCAGTTCTTCCTGATCTCATCTGTTACATAAGATAGATTTTAGTGGCTTTTTTAAAATAGGGTAGATTTTGTTCTCATGGTTTGTGTGTTTGCTCTTTCCCAGTCGCTACCCTGCACCTGCAGCATCTCCCAAACACGCACCATGACCATGTTGGATGGGACTTACAGCGAGGCCGACACCAACAGCCTAGCTGGCTACACCGAGGAGCCAATGGGTCCTGAGGATGAGCCCGAGCCAGAGCCTGAGCCAGAGGAGAAGCCAAAGGTCCCAGAGAAGTCAGAGCACATGGTGGTCCACCTGTCCATGAGCACAGAGCCCGCTGGCATCAAGAAGAGGAAGAGTCTACGCGCCCTCAACATAATCCAGAATACACATGCAATTGATAAATATTCTCGGATGATTTTTCCTGGATCATACATTTTCTTCAACCTTATCTACTGGTCTGTTTACTGCTGATTGACAGCTGGGGATCAGGGTGAGGCTGGCAAGGTAGAAACAAGCCGTTGTGATAAAGCTGGGGATGAGACTTTGAACAGTTAGTGTCCTACAAGATACACAAATAGAAAAAGGAGTCCAGCAGGACCTGAGGAGATTCAAAGGCTCTTCAATTATCTTTATCTTTCTGCTCCTGGGTTTCATTTTGCTCCAACAGCAGCTTGAATGTTGATATTTTAACAAGGAAACCATAAGCTCTATCACGTTACCTCTTAGTTATGAATGTTTGGGTCCAGAAGTTTTCATCCGTTTGTGGTTTAATGGTATTAAAACCTGAAACTGAGGAGGTTATTAACACAAAGAAAATGTCTCAGGTTAGGATACACAGAGGAGATTATCTGGTTATATTTATATCCATCTGAATGTAATATGCTCAGATTTAGTTTATGGGCTTTGATGGGATTCTGGTTTGCATGATCCTGTTGAGCTCAGCAGATGTCACCTCAGGAAATGTTAACCGCTCAGTCTAATTACATGGTAAAATAATCAGATATGAAACAGGGCAGCAGGTAGAAGGCACCTGGCGGCAGTTGTCATGGTAACAGGCGTTAATGATGGAAGTGAATTGGGTTGTGTATTTTCTTAGTTTTCAACTGGTGAAGTTGTTTATTACAGAGGATATCTAACTATAAAGAAAACTCTGGCTGAGATTTAGCCTTGAAGAGATTTCCACACATCATTAAGTAATTGGCTCTTTTCAGAGCGGAGGAATCAGAAGCAGTAATACATTTGATCTGTTATTAATTAAATATTTTCAGATTTCAAAGATTTTCAGCAATCAGGATTTCATTTGCTGCCCTTGTAAAATGTATACTCACGGCCTCTAACTGTAGAATATACCAGCTTACCTACATGTCAGCATCCGTAAAGCCTGAACACTGAAACCAGCTGATAGAATGACTCGGGTTTAGATTAGGTTCTGTTAAACCTGATCTCAACAACCATCTGATGGCAGCTTCAGACATGTTTCTGGGAAGCTGCCTTTTTTCAACCTGAGAAAACATTCTTGTGTTTATTTATATTATTATTGTAGGACTGATTTACTTCAGTGAAAAAAACTATGTGTATTATTAAATGAAAAAACTATGTAGATTAAACAACTGTGGAAACTGTTGAAAGAGAGCTTGCTTCTAAAGTTTTTATTAAATTGGGAAGGACTGCTAACAAGCTGAGATTGAGTCAATCAAAGATTATGAGCAGCTTTTTTAGGAGGATATCATGTTGGACGCCCTGCATCTGCGGCTCCGCCTCTGCAGCTTCACGAAGGTCTGCAGCTCAACATCCATCTGTAGCTCCGCCTCCGTCTGCAGCCTCATGGAGGTCTGCAGCTCGACATCCATCTGCAGCTCAACATTCTTCTGCAGCCTCATGGAGGTCTGCAGCTCGACATCCATCTGCAGCTCAACATTCTTCTGCAGCCTCATGGAGGTCTGCAGCTCGACATCCATCTGCAGCTCAACATTCTTCTGCAGCCTCATGGAGGTCTGCAGCTCGACATCCATCTGCAGCTCAACATTCTTCTGCAGCCTCATGGAGGTCTGCAGCTCGACATCCATCTGCAGCTCAACATTCTCCTGCAGCTTCATGGAGGTCTGCAGCTCAACATGCATCTGTTGCTCCACCTCCGTCTGCAGCTTTATGGAGGTCTCGGCTCAGTATCCATCAGCAGCTCTGCCTTCATCTGCATATATGTATCTATTTGCGGCTAAAGGTTGCATATCTGCAGCAGCCGAAGTTATGACTTTGACAACACACCTGGCTGCATCTGTCATCGTCATACCCGTCAGCTGTGGTTTCACAGCTGTCAGCAAAGCTGCTGGCAAGAGGTCTTGTTTCTGTTTCTGACTTGGCAGCTTTTCCAGCCAATGTAGGAGTCTACTGGTTGGATATTGTTCAACTAGGAAAATCTGTTTTCAATTTATCGTCAACATGGATAATTCAGATCATGATGTTTGGACACTGTCTGGGGAAATAGCTTCATCAAATCCATCCTGTTATAGAGCCTCAGATCTCCGGCTGATAAAATGTTTCAGTTTGACACTTGTGTGTTTGAGTTTGTTGGTTAAATTTCTGCTGGATAAATCTGACATAAAGAATGTTTCTGTGTTTGTAAAGATGTATTAAATATTACTGTCATAAACTGATTCGGTCTCTGATTTGTAGAGATAAGAAACAAATTCTTTGCTTGATCAGTGACACTGAGGCTGCTCAGTTTTTAATTTCCTCTGACATCTTAGTCTGAATCTGTCTTCATAGAGAAACATGATACAGTCAGTCAATCAGTGATACTTATGATGAGGGGTTTAGTGATCAGGGCACAGCATGAGTCAGTTTAGAAACTAAATTTAAATATAAAATTTACTTTTAGATTTTTTCCAAGCATTTTATACATCTTCTTATTTATAGAAGAAATTCAACACAACAGGTGTATTTTTCAAAATATGTCCCCATTTACTGATCTATGCTATTTCATGATTTTTTATCACACTTACATTTTTACTATATACCCAATACATTTATTATAATAGATAATTATTGACTTTCTGTTAGAGAAAGATTTTCCTAAACTGAAAGGATGTTTGTTTATGTACATTGAAAATGGACACACGGCTTGGCAAAAGGTTACACTGTTTCCACAACAGTTATTCATGTTTTAGTTTATTTAGCCACATCCATAGAAGTATTTTAAACCATTTTCTTTTTTGTGAGACACATAATGAGTAGAAACAAACCGAATCTTATTCTTGAGTTCAGTTTCTACCTGAACGATGGTTTAATCCTTACAATCTATACCTATCTAAAAACTCATTCACCAAGTGAAACATCTTATGCAGATTAATTCCACAGATTTGATGATTCTGGTGATTTTCAGCCTTTTTGCCGCTTAAATACAATGATTTTCCGCACAGAGTTGATGAAAACCCAGCATTTAACAACATTTTATTAGACAAATATAAACAACCCAATAAACATAGAGTGAAGGAGGCATATTTTCAATTCCCACCTAAAGTTTTTTGAAGTGTATTTCAAAGCTGACAAATATTATAATATTAAAAAATAATTACATATGATTATATGGCTCATAACAATATATTAAAAATATAATTGCTGCAGTATTACTTTAAGCAATCTTGATATCCCATTATAAAAATCTGGAGATGGGAAAAGGCTAAATAGGCTCTTTGTAGGTCTACAAATAATAAAATACAATTTCCACATTTTATAAACTCAGTTTACATTCATGTTTTTTTGTTTCATATCCTTTTTTAAGTTACTATTCAACGTAAACTCTTAATTTAATACAATTATTGTACTAATTATTAATAATTAAACTATCAGAAACATTTTGTTCCGCTTTTAATTTTATGCATTTGTGACCCTCTGCTTTCTCTGTGAACATGAGAAACTGAATTTTATGTCTTTACTTATATGAACAGCAAAGTGAAGCTGCTTTTCTTCATATTTTATATATGTTTTTATATTTTGAAAACGTTCTTCTGGCCAGTTTTCATTCACACTGTTGTGTTTAATTCACTACAAACACATGGCAACTGCATCATGAGAACTGTCGCCTCTCTATAATCCCCGAGCGGTTAGTGAACGCAGCACAGAGCTCCACTTCCTGTCAGCAGGAAGTTTCCCGTCATCACCGACCCAGAGTGTTTTTATAACTCTGCATCAGCCGGACTGAGAACCGCTCGGAAGCTGCCCTGAAGCTGTGAGTGTTTGTGGTTTGTTTAGACTTGTTTACACACTATTTGGTTGTTGTTTGTTTACCAAACATGGACAGTTCCGGTGCTAAGGAGCAGCTGCAGCAGTTGCTGCTTGGTGTTTTATGGGCGTCCTCAAAGAAATCAGTGTACTATAACCCGATCAGAGTCGCTGTTACTCCCGATCAGCTGAGATCAGAGCTCACTTATCTGTCAGACTCAGCTGGATTAATGGCAGCACCCGCCTGACGTCACAGAGCCGCGTCACTCTAACTGTTGGCCGTCAAACTGTAGTTTCCTAAATGACTTCCGGTTCTCTCTGCAGACCGAAGGTCAGGAAGATCAGATCTGAGTCCTGTGAAGTTTCCTCTGATTTCCCTGGCAGGTTTCGGTTCTATAACAGAACCATTCGCGTGAGGAGTCCCCTGAGATATGGGAGAGGATCAGGATCAGGGGAAGATTTACCATTTAGCAATACCGGGCAGGTGCCAAGGGCCCCAAGCTCCTGGGGGCCCCATAAAACTCGGTTTACATGAATGGTTAATACAACTTTTCCTTATTGGTGTGCATTAATTATATTTTTGATAAAAATCAGAACCTGCACAGGGACCCTAATTGCATTTTTACTTTATTCTTTTTTTTTTTTTTTCCTCTGACTGTCACATAAATAAACACCTTCTGAGTCAGCGATGGAAATTTCAGATCATGCAAAGAGATTCCAATTTTATTTTGTAGAGATATTATCAACGACTGTAAACAAACATGATTAATATAGCTGATTAATATAACAAAAAAGCTGATTAATAAGTTAAACTTGAATTTGATTAGCTGCTTCAGTTTCAGTTAAAGTTATTGATCAGAATAACACCTTGATATTTAAATATAGATATATATTATATATTATATATATATTATATTATATTATTTTTATTTATTTATTATTATTATTTTTTTATTTTTTTATTTTTTTTAAAGCTCTTCCTCACCCATCACTGGCGGTCTTCCCCCCTTTTTTCCTCCAAGCTCGGGTCCTCTACCAGAGGCCTGGGAGCTTGATGATTCTGCTCAGTATCTTTGCGGTTCCTAGAACTGCACTCTTCTGGGCCGAGATGTCTGATGTATTTCCAGGGATCTGCTGTAACCACTCTTAAAATTTGGGGGTCACTGCCCCGAGGGCCCCAATGACCACGGGTACCAATGATGCCTTGTCCTTCCAGGTTTTCTCCAGCTCTTCTATGAGCCCCTGGTATTTCTCTAGTTCTTCATGTTATTTTTTCCTGATGTTGCAGTCACTTGGTATTGCTATGTCAACCACAGCGGCTTTCTTCTGCTTTTTGTCCACAATCTCAATCTCTGGTTGGTTTGCTATTACCATTCAGTCCATCTGTATCTGGAAGTCCCACAGGATCCTGGCTTGATCATTCTCTACCACCTTTGGAGGTGTTTCTCACTCTGACCTTGGGGTTTCCAGCCCATACTCTGCACAGATGTTCCTGTATACTATTCCAGCCACTTTGTTATGGCACTCCATGTAGGCTTTCCCTGCCAGCATCTTGCACCCTGCAGTAATGTGCTGGATTGTCTCTTTGCACAGTCTGCACCTGGGGTCTTGTCTGGTGTGGTAGATCTGGGCCTCTATTGCTCTGGTGCTTAGGGCCTGCTCCTGTGCAGCCATGATGTGTGCCCCTGTGCTGTCCTTCAGTCCATATTTGTCTAGCAATTGGTAGGATTTCCTGATATCTGCCACTTCAGTAATTTTTTGGTGGTACATCCCATGTAGGGGCTTATCCTCCCATGATGGAATCTCTGGCACCTGATCTTCTGTTCCCCATTGTCTGAGACATTAACTGAGCACATGGTCTGTTGGAGCCTTGTCCTTGATGTACTTATGGATCTTGGATGCTCTTAAGCTCATTAGTCCTCGGCCTCCTTCCTTACGGCTGGCCTACAGTCTCAGGGTACTGGATTTGGGGTGGTACCCTCCGTGCATGGTTAGGAGCTTTCTTGTCATAACATCTGTGGCCTGTACAGTATCCCACCCTTTCGCCAGCTTGTTATTCCTGCAGGGTATCTGATTACTGGTAGAGCGTAGCTATTTCTTGCCCGAGACTTATTCTTGATATACAGGTGCTGGTCATAAAATTAGAATATCATGAAAAAGTAGATTGATTTCAGTAATTCCATTTAAAAAGTGAAACTTGTATATTATATTCATACATTACATACAAACTCATATATTTCAGATGTTTATTTTGTTTAATTTTGATGATTACAAATGACAACAAATGAAAATCTCAAATTCATCATATCAGAAAATTAGAATATTACTGAAGACCAATAAAAACAAAGGATTTATAGAAATGTTGGCCAACTGAAAAGTATGAACATGAAAAGTATGAGCATGTACAGCACTCAGTATTTAGTTGGGCCTCCTTTGGCCTGTATTACTGCAGCAATGCGGCGTGGCATGGAGTCGATCAGTCTGTGGCACTGCTCAGGTGTTATGATAGCCCAGGTTGCTCTAATAGTGGCTTTTAGCTCTTCTGAATTGTTGGGTCTGGTGTATTGCATCTTCTTCTTCACAATACCCCATAGATTTTCTATGGGGTTAAGGTCAGGAGAGTTTGCTGGCCAATTAAGAACAGGGATACCATGGTCCTTCAACCAGGTACTGGTAGCTTTGGCACTGTGTGCAGGTGCCAAGTCCTGTTGGAAAATGAAATCTGCATCTCCAAAAAGTTGGTCAGCTGCAGGAAGCATGAAGTGCTCTAAAACTTCCTGGTATGTGGCTGCGTTGACCCTGGACCTCAGAAAACACAATGGACCAACACCAGCAGATGACATGGCACCCCAAACCATCACTGACTGTGGAAACTTTACACTGGACTTCAAGCAACGTGGATGAAGTGCCTCTCTTCTTTTCCTCCAGACTCTGGGACCTTGATTTCCAAAGGAAATGCAAAATTTACTTTCATCAGAGAACATGACTTTGGACCACTCACCAGCAGTCCAGTCCTGTTTCTCTTTAGACGCTTCTGACGCTGTCTGTGGTTCAAGAGTGGCTTGACACAAGGAATGCGACAGCAGAAACCCATGTCTTTCATACGTCTGTGTGTGGTGGTTCTTGAAGCACTCACTCCAGCTGCAGTCCACTCTTTGTGAATCTCCCCCACATTTTTGAAGGGGTTTTGTTTCACAATCCTCTCCAGGGTGCGGTTATCTCTCTTGCTTGTACACTTTTTTCGACCACATCTTTTCCTTCCCTTCGCCTCTCTATTAATGTGCTTGGACACTGAGCTCTGTGAACAGCCAGCCTCTTTAGCGATGACCTTTTGTGTCTTGCCCTCCTTGTGCAAGGTGTCGGTGGTCGTCTTTTGGACAACTGTCAAGTCAGCAGTCTTCCCCATGATTGTGTAGCCTATAGAACTAGACTGAAAGACCATTTAAAGGCTTTTGCAGGTGGTTTGAGTTAATTAGCTGATTAGAGTGTGGCACCAGGGGCCATCAATTTTGAACCTTTTCACAATATTCTAATTTTCTGATATGATGAATTTGAGATTTTCATTTGTTGTCATTTGTAATCATCAAAATTAAACAAAATAAACATCTGAAATATATGAGTTTGTATGTAATGTATGAATATAATATACAAGTTTCACTTTTTAAATGGAATTACTGAAATCAATCTACTTTTTCATGATATTCTAATTTTATGACCAGCACCTGTATATAAACAATCACATGTATTTCATAATTTAAATATAATAAAGAGGGGCTTGTATTAACATTTAATATATTTACACTTAGTCAAACAGCATGATTTGATCTTTATATAGCCATTAATGTTGGCTGATAGTACATTATATTTCATGATCTATAACTCATTTATAAACAATCTATAGAACGACTAAAAGTACATTAATTTAACCCAGGAGATGGTTTGGGGCAGAACTGATGCCTACGATTCTGGGTATTTCCATCTGCAGTGTTTGTTTGAAGAGCCATTCTTCATCTGCCGTGTGCCTCTAAAACGACTCACAGCCTGACATCCATTTTTATAATTTTCCTTGTACTCATCACACTTCCTTTGTAAAGAAGGCTAATCCAGGGTTTTTCTCTACACACAAAGGATTTTTTGCTGTCTTCTAATAATGTCGTGTCAATTGTATTTCAGAGGACTGATTGCAGAGTGTTTTACATCCGTCTCTAGGCAACCATGACAGCATCACACACCCCTATCTGAGGAAGTCCTGCTTAGATGCTGGAGCCATGCTAGCCTTTCTATCTCTTGCATTTTAGTTTTTAAATTTGTTTGTTATAATCTTAACATGTGTAAAACAACCTCTGCCTAATATTTATTAGATAACAGGAAGGATGGCAACTCTCATTTTGATAAATGATAACATTTTCTTTATAAACATGAAATGATGGGAGTTCTAAAACTTCTCCTGCACCCTTGAGGATTGTTCAAGAGGCTCCATTTCTTTATCTTTTTCTAGATCTGATTCATCCACTGCTAATTTGTATAAACATGACCCAGCTCATTCTGAAGGAAGCTCACTATAGTTGGAACAGAGGAGGTGATATATCATGATCTGAAAATTATTGTGTGGAAACAATTTTAACATGCTTATATATATACACCACAGATCTACTCAAAATGTTTAAAAGGAAATATAAGAATACTTAAACTTTAAATATGTTTTGTCTCCTAACCTAGGTAATTTGTTCTGTTAAAAAAATAAAAATATGCCTTCGATCTAAAAAGTAACATTTTCAAAATGATAAAAAAAAAGTTTTCAGTATATTTTTTATTTAATTTAAAATCATTTTAATGAGAGAGAGAGTAACTGAAGCTTTCTTGGGATAAGTGAAGAATAATCACATAGTGCTCCCCCTCCTCCACCTGTTGCTGTACTATGCAAGTCAACTGGCTGGGAAAAAAATCTACCTATGAGAAACAAAGACAATAAAAAGTGTTTTAACCATCACTCTAATAGGGGGTTTTCAGTGACGTCACTGACCAGCTTCTGGTCCGCCATCTTGGGTGGCATATTATCGTTTATCATATATATCATGTCGCGAATGGATAAGTACGCCAGCACGCTAGAGCCACCAGATCATGGAACATATCTGAGGAAATGTTCCGTGATCGACCATATGGACCCCTATGCCCTCCACGGTGCCTTGTTTAGCACTAATCCAGATGATTGGCCAAATGTAGAGCATGGTGACATAGTTCATTACCCAGTGTTCAGTGAAAACCCTCTGCACACTCTTGAGGAAATGAGAGCGTACAAGGGTCTAGAGGCTCACAACCAGTTCACATCTGGTTGGGTACGAGATGTCGAAGTGATGTACATGAAGGAAATCGCCATCATACGTGGACGGGTGAGTTTTAATAAGATGGTAAAAATGTAAACAATCCGACGCAGGGCTCGCTATGCTAGGTGGCTAACGGCCGGCGGTGCGCGAACAGTTCCAAAGCTACAAGTCCTTGGAGTCTCATGTGCAGTTTACGAATGGATGGGTTCAGGAGCTGCAGCTCATAAAGCCAGCAAACAGTGCTAACCGTTAGTGCTAACAACCACTCAGGCATGTAATGTACTTTTAACTAGCTGCTATGTGTTTCAAAGGTTTGGTTGGTAACGTTAGCTGCCAAACCTCCCTAAACCCTCCGGGTTTTTCACATATTTGAGCCTTTTCCTGCGGGTTGAAATCAAGTTAAGGTGAAATTAATCAAATTAAAACACGGCTGAGAGAGGGAGTCCAGTACGCGGTAGTCATAGGCAGTAGTCTGAGTAGCGGCGGCGGAGACGGTCAACATTGCGGCCACGGAAAGTAATACGTCATGACGCCCAAGCCCTATTATTAATATATTATTACATGTTTTAAATGCTTGACAGTTAATTACCTGTGACAAAGTGAGCACTGCAGACTCTGGCGTGTTCCAGCTTAACACCGTCCAAATCGGACCTGGATATCCGTGTCAGGCATAGGTGACAGCGTTGTTCAGATAGCTGTTTTGTTTTTTCACATTGATTCACGATTACGGCTGGTATGCGATAGAAAGAGCGTTGATCTCCACCTCCACGGGCCGTGCAACCAACAATTACACACGATTTCACCATTTTTCACTGTCAATACTGCCTAAGGCTGCCACCCAATATGGCGGACGCGCTGAGTAGTCACGTGAGCATGACGTCACCTGAAAACCCCCTATTCAGGTAATGTAGCTTAAAAACAACCATTAAAAAGCTTTGAGCAGCATATCTGTTAAACACCTGAGTTCACACCCTGATTACTGGAGCAGATCCCTCAACTAGGTAAAAAAAATCATATCTTTTCACTTTTATTATTGAAATAATTTTCAACTAATTTAATAATCGATTAACTGGCATATAGAGACTGTTAAAAAGGCCTTTATCTGTCAAAGCGACCTGCTTAGAGCAGTAATTATACCAAAGTTGGAAAAAAAGATATCTAAACATTTGGAATTAAAGATTGAAAAACATTTTTTTTTTCTGTCAATATGCTCTATCCAGAACACCTAAAGTGGAAAAGTTCTAATTTCACCTGCTTTGATTTTGTAAAAAGTCTTCCTTATCTGCAGCCCTAATCTGTTCAGGAGAAATCTCTAAACAGCAAAATTAGTTTAATATGGTGAGAATTTCTTAAAACAATTAAAGAAAGATATTCTATTAATCTAGAACAATTTATCAGCAATATACACTCTCATAATGTGATTTTTGCATTGATTTAGTAACTGTTTTTTTTTATTTATATCTTAATTTGTTTTCATTTTTTTTCTTAAAACTTTTCTTTTAATGTAGAATCAAGTTTTTACTTGTTTTTTGTTTTGTTTTGTTATGATGGTTTAAAGTGCTTTACTTAGATAGTTTGACCTGAAGTCCTTTTTTTCAAATGTGAGAGAGTAAAAAAAAAAACTGTTTGGCTGATTTGAATCTGAAAGTACGGTGGCTGTGAGAGGACAAACTTTCAAAGTGCATTTACTGGATACATCCCCCCCTATTATTCAGAAACATCTGTAGACTTAAACGCCTTTTAAAGCAAACCTTAGATTGTTTTTCAAGGAGTTTAAACACATTTCCTTCCTGTAATGTTTAAATGTGATGTAAAAAAAGAAAAAAGTGGAATTATCAAGAAGCAGTTAAGCTCAGAAAATTCCAAACAAAGATTTTAAGTTAGATCATTGCAGCTACAGAAAAGGTTAAAGCTTAGAGTGGCACAGACAGACCATCTGAACCGTATTTTTGTCTTTGACTCAGAATCTTTGCACCCGTGCAGTAAAAGGGAAGAATGCTCACTGTGGTTAAAGTGAGTCATTCAGGAAAACCGCTGTTACTCTGCTCACTCTGAAAGTGGAAGCAGTTCTCTTAGCTCCTCCCCGCTTCGTGTTTCACTGCAGTTAAACTTCTAACATTCCAGCTTTAGCTCCTGAGGGAACAACAAGTTATTCAACAGATCTGAACGCTGCACAGAGTATTCATGGAATTTGTTTCGTTCAGTCGCGACAAACTGCTGGAGATTTAATAACATTTTTACTCAGAAACAAAGAAGAAAAAGAAGAATGCAGCCCTCTGAGTCACAACCTGAAGGTCTCAGCTTGATGCTCTTACTGGGCAAAGATAAAAACCATAGCAGCAGTGGTACATAGCCTTCTGGTTCTGGTTACATCTGACCTATCCCCTTTCAGCAGGTTCTGGTCCAGCCATGACCCAGAAGGAGCAGCAAGAGTTCGCGGCCTGCTTGCAGGAGGCCCTCGCTTGGATGCAGAGCGTCCAGGAGCAGCTTAAAGGCAACGATAATACACAGGGGCCCCGAGATGCCTTGGAGGCTCGACTCAGGGAGACTGAGGTAAGGCGTTTATTCTCAAAGATTTCATTGGATATATTATAAAAACCCAATCACTAGAATGGGGTAGAGATGTGGTTTGATTTGCTTTAATCAGAAACTGCAACTTGGTTTGAATCAGTGATAAAAAAAAAATCAGTTTGACAGAATGTTGCATCGCTGCATGCAGTTTTACGAGCCACACCCGCCGTGGGTGGAGTCCAAGCTGGTGTTGTAGTCGGTGGATGGTTTGCTACATCTCAAGCTTCTGGCAATGAGCAGCAGGCTGTGAATAATCACCAGATCTGCTCCTGCAGCTGAGGAGTGCATCAGCTTTTTATTTGGAGCCCCCTCCCTCTTGTTTTTACCTAAAGGCCTCACCCTCATGAAAACTGCATGGAGTCTGTTTCTGCAGAAACCAGCCAGCAGAACCAGTTTAATTTGTTCTGGATTTCTGTTTTCATTCTTTTGAAGACATTAAATTTACCTTCATGCTTTAATTGCCGAGATGTTTTTGTTTCTGAGGAGACCTGTTGTGTTTTCTTCATGTTTTTTTTTTCTTGCCCAACACATATTATCACAAAGAAATCCACTTTCTCCGTGTTTATCAAAGCAAACATGCAACACACATAGGATAAACCCTCTTCAGGCTAAACCCACTGCTGCAGATGAGCTGTCTTCTCTTACCTTTAAAGTCATCTTGATAAATAATTCTTCAAACCCCTTTAAGATCTTTCAACTCTTTCTTTTGAAATCTTTCTGCCTTTGCTCTTAATTAATCTAAGGAAGCATAAAAGATAAATATGATTTGTGAATTCCAACACACGTCTCCAGCAGATGCACCTTTATGTTTGCAGATGCCACATCCTGCTGCTCACTGCTGCTGATGTCATTAAACTCCAATTCCATCAATACAATAATCTCTGCAGGAGTTCTGTTGTGCTCTGGTCCTCTTTCTCAATCTTTTTCTATAGAATCAGCAGCATTTATATTAAAATAAAGCAACACTAGACAGCTCTGTTATATATTCCCTTTGCAGGTATATGTGTTGTTGTCCCTGAACGTCGTCCATAGGAGCTCAACTTGTTTATCTGATCTCTGCAGAAAAGGTTCTTCAAACCTGATCAGGCTAAAAAAAAATATTTCTGAGGACCTTTTAAGGGTTAAAACATAACCGTCTGATTTGCTGTTTCTCTTTCTACCTAATAGCTCTGTTTGAATTAATTTCATGTGGACGATAACAATATAAACCAATCAGCAACTGTTGTATTGTGTTTCTATTGCAGGATTAAAAATAGGAAAGAGAAGAGGAAGTTTAATGGTTTCATTGTTAGCTTTGAGCAACACATGTGGAAGAACTATCTGTTGCTACTGCGAAGAAGAATTTGGCTAGAAAGGTGTCTGGATTTTAATATTTTCTCCACCATCATGTACAGAAAATCCATCATTCGGAAGATACAGGTCGGATGAAAGTGGAACAGGTGTTGATGGCGGCAGAGAAACTTATGCAGAGCGAAGATGAGGAGCTTAAGAACAGCACTAACAGCAAACTGAAGGAGCTGAAGAGCCAGTGGGAGGACACAACCACCTACATTGTCCATTGTCACAGGTAACCTTCTCAGCCTTCATCCTGTGACTCTTTGTTTGTTCCATGTTGCCTTTAGTCTGACAAAGGTTACCTTGTGTGCTCTATGTTACCGTCTGTATTTCATTGCTTATGTTCTTTGTGGTAATATATTGCATGGCTTAAAAGTTTAATTTTAGTTTCCCAAATGGTAGAAACGAATGTGTTGGCTAAGGCAGCAGTTAGAATAGAATAGAATAGAATAGAATAGAATAGAATAGAATAGAATTCCACTTTATTTGCATTACACTGTGACATCTATCCAGAAGTGCTATTCAGGATATAGATATGTGCACAAAGACTATGTATGTATTAACTATAAATGGTATATATATGAACAGAGAGTAATTGTAAGAGGCTATACAATAAATCTATATATGAAACTATATACAAATTATACAGAAAGGTTAGGATATGGATTATGTATATATTAGTGGGGTTATAAAACAGAATAAATAATAACAGATGATAGCAGATAAAAGATTAGCAGATTATATACACCTATAGATGAGTAGTGCTTGTAAGCGAGGATGTGTGTGTGAGGACAGTCCATATGTTATTGTTTTGTGTGTTAGGTTTTTTTGGGTTTTTTTGGGGGGTACAGTCCTTTTAGTTGGTGTCAGGAGGCGTTCAGGAATGACGGCTGTGGGGAAGAAGCTCTTCTGATACTCCTGAAGACGGGAGTGAGAACGGTGTGTGTGCAGGACCGGTGGAGTCTTTGGAGATTTTCCCGTCCCTTTTCAGACACCGCTTCCTGAAGATGTCCTCGATGGCAGGGAGGGTAGTTTTCACCATCCTCTGCATTGCCTTCCGGTCCGAGGCAAAGCAGTTCCCATACAAACTATGATACAGTTGGTAAGGATGCTCTCAATGGTGCAGTAGGAGAACTTCAGGAGGATCCCTGAGGACAGATGGTTCTTCCTTAATAAAGAAGAGGCGCCGATGCGCCTTTTTGATGAGCTTATAGCTGATGGTCATCCATGCCAGACCCTCAGAGATGTGGATTCCCAGGAACTTAAAGCTGTCCACACGCTCCACCGCCGTCCCCTTGAGGATGGGTTGATGTGGGTCAGCGTTCCTCTTGACGTCCACGACGAAAAGACGCAAGTTCCTTGGTCTTTTCATGGTTCAGCTTCAGGTTGTCTGTTCCGCACCATTCAGCCAGACAGTCCAGCTCCTCCCTGTGGAGGCCTCATCGTTGTCTCTGATGAGTCCGATCACTGAGGTGTCGTCATCAAACTTGATGATGGAGTTGGAGCCATGGACGGGTCTGCAGGAGAGGGTGAGGAGGGAGTCGAGGAAGGGACTCATCATGCATCCTTCTGGCACTCCGGTGTTTATGGTGACAGTGGTTGTCCAGCCGGGAATGTTGGGGCCGACTTGTCAGGAAGTCGAGCAACCAGTTGCACATGAGTGAACTAATGCCGAGTTAGTTAGTTTTTCCCTGACCTTACATCTAGGGAAGTGCGGGATTCATCAGAACTATTTTCTGGTAAATCAGAGCACTGATTCCCCCCTGATGTGCTTGTTTCTTCTTAAAAAATTTGTTATTTTCTTACTCTGGGAATAAAGAAACAATCCAGGAAGGGAGAAAATGCCAGCAACACAACATGAGAGGTTGGTATCTGAGCGGTGGGAAGCGTAAATATCTCAAAGGGTTTTGCGTGTGAAACAGACAGATAACAAAGGGAGAAAGCTGCTCAAGAGTCTGGAATGTCATGTTGTCAGCATGCAGTCCAACAGTCAAGAGATGTTTATTTTCTAAATGTCACTTTAACATTTAGGTTTAAAAAAGGAGCCGTATTAATAACATCTGTGTTAAATGCCTTTCTGGCCCTGAATGCACACTAGTCTGATCCCTGCTAAGAACAGAAATGATGCAAGACTCTGACTCTGAAAGGAGTTGCACCGTAGGAGAAGTGAGGCTAAAATGAAATAAAGTTTCCTAACATTCCTGTCTATGTCTTCGCAGCCGGATCGAGTGGGTGTGGCTCCACTGGAGCGAGTACCTGAAGGCGTACGAGGAGTTTGAGGTGTGGCTCACCAAGCAACGGCGCTCTCTGGACAAGAATGTGGAGCTACAGCTGGGCCCAAAGGAGAAGCTGTGGCAGCTGGACCAGCACAGGGTGATGGTGAGCGACGTCGACAGCCAGGTGGCGCTGTTGGAGAGGCTGCTGGACGAGGCAGCCGCACTGCATGGCAGAACGCAGGACCAGAGCGTTGACAAACAGGCCCAGCAGAGAATGCAAGAGGACTATAACAACATCCGGGATCGAGCCAGGGTGGGACATGATCAGAATCTGGTTCAGACTGATTGGATCCAGACCTGCTGAAAACATCTTAGATGATAATAACTGTTTTTTTTCTCCCCTGCTCTGTTAGGAGCGGCTGATGCTGCTGCAGAAGATCAGCGATGAGCACCAGACGTTTCAAAGCCGTGTTCAGAAGTTTGAATCCTGGCTGGTATCTAAAACCAGAGAGCTGACCGAGCTGATGCAGCTGAAGGAAACCCCTGAGAACAAGCTGAAAGCATTAAAGGTCGGTCAAAACGCTGACAATCATTGTCTCAACATCTGCTGGTTCTAGGCCTGGTAGTAGCAAGGCGATGGTTTAGAACATCTGCCTCCTTGTCCTCCTAACGTCTTGCTTTGTCTCAGACTCTGGATGAAAGCGTGGCATCTGAGGAGACCACCCTGCAGCAGATTCAAAACATGGCAGACGCTGTGAGAGCCAACACGTCTCCTGCAGGAGCAGTAGCTGTGCAGGAGGAGGCAGAGGAGCTGCGGCTGGGATGGCAACGTCTACGACAGGGTCTCTGTGAGGCTGAGGAGGGTCTGCGCTGCAGCTTGGACTCCCATAGTCAGTACCTGACCCGGTGCCGGCGGCTGGGAGATGAGATAGGGCGGATCAGGGAGCTGCTGCAAGACCTGGACCAGGAGCTGGAGGAAACGCAGGAGTCCAAACGCAGTTCCGAGATCAACGAAGAGCAGATGGAAGGACAGTGGAGGAAATACTCAGTAGGTCAAGGGGGGGAGAGGGTTTTAAAAAGGATTGGATTGTTTGAAATCCAGGGATTTCAGACCCTTCAACCTACGTTGGTCTCATTATTGCGTTTCAGGGTGTGTGGAACACTCTGGCTGGGAAAGAGTCTCAGGTGGAGCTGCTGAAGGCTCAACTAAAGGAGCTCTTCAGGTTCTCTGAGGACTCTCGTCATCTTTCAGACGACGTCTTGGCTGTTGTTAAAGAACATCACAGGTAGGTTAGAGCTTCAGAACAGACCCACTGATGTTTTATCACAGGTAAAGTGTCCATAAAGTATTGATGCCTAAATGTATAATTCTGCTGCTTTTAAGATCAGGGTAACAGGAGCCTGCTTCTTTAAGGAGAACTAAGCCCCTTTTTGTGTCTGATGTTTGTTGTTTCAGCCGTGTTTTGATCGATTGCTTATGTTTCAGAGCCAGTAAATACCTGTAAATATTTGGATGCAGTGCAGCCATGATATTTCAGATACATCAACCACACTTCAGAATAAAACATTCAAAACACAACCCTAATCTGTATCAGCAGGAAAAACCATTTCAATAATAGCAATTCAGTAAAACCACCCTGACCAGAGCAGCTTCTATAGCTGTAGCTATTATTCACTGTAGGGAGTCTTAAGGTTTGTTTAGCCAGGCTGTATAATAAACAGAAAATCCCCTTAGGTGGAAAAAAAGGGAGAAAAAAATACAAATAATAAAACCAAACTCCCTCAGCCTCATACCAGAAATATGGCACACAATAAACCTGGAGCTTTAGTCAGAGGTGCTGAGAAAACTCCTGCAGCTACTGCAAAAAAAATCTATACAAAAAAAAACCCAATAACGCCCTTCATGCAATCTACCACAAAATAAAGCTACAAAACCCCTAACCTACTGAGAAAGTAGTTTAAATTACTTCAGGGTTACAGTTCTTCTACAATATTTTTATGCAAAATAATATTTTTAACCTTTTTTTGTATATATTTGACATAAAAGCATAAAATTGAAGGTGTGACAGAAATATCAACCTGCTGTCAGGCTCAGGTGGTTTATATTCTGCAGGGCTCTTGTTTACCTGTGCAGCAGCAGTGTTTTTTTCCACAGTTTACATCATTTGCCAGTTAGTCACTCAGATAAATGGAACATCTTTAAAGAAATGACCCTTGAAGCAAATTGCTTTGAGAAAGTAAACCATTTGATTAGAACTTGTTAAAAGTTCAGCAAGAAAAAAAAAGAGAATTATTAGTGAAGGATGCAATCTGTTTGAAGTGAAGATTTCCTGCTTTGAAGCTCCAGTTTGTGGAGATCAGACAGGTTGAGAACGTTTTTTATGAGCTGCTCCAGGATCTGCTCAATTGGTCATTAAGCTTTACAGTGATGCATCCAAATATCCTATGCTGTTGTTTGGACCTATCATTAAACCTGGCTGTAACTTCTGTCTCTGAGACAATAACGGCAGAGTCTGCCGTCCAAAACTCTTAGATCATTTGGCTTTTTTTTTGGCACTGGGAGTTTTCCATAGGATAAGCTGAATATGTATCTGCAGAGATCTAGGTCATCATGTGCAGCTTTTTCTCCTTTTCTATTGAGCGTAATGAGGGGCTGAATTAGGACAACATCAGCTTAGAGAATTCAAACTAAATGAAACTTTTACTGTTGCTGTTTTCTTTGATTCAGATTATTTCTGCCGAATGCTGTAAGTATCTTAAAATGTCTTTTTTTTTTTTTTATGTAACTTTTTAAAGGGAAGCTTTGGACTTCTGGATGAGCGCCATTATCATCATCATCATTATCATCAGGAAACAAGGAAGGGGGCTCTAAAATGCCCCCCTAAGCCAGATTAAACAATGAGCTGCAGCCTCCCAGATCCAGGAGAGATTCTGGATTAAGCTTTCCTTCTGGAATATTAAAACCTCAAGGTTGTTAACAACTCGGCATCAGACGGATATTTCAGTGAGGGATTGGTTTTTCTGACACATGGAGGCTAATTTTTTGTTGTTCAGTTTTAATGAGATCCTGAATTCTGTTTTTAAAAAATACTTACAAGTAAAATTAAGACTATTTATTTAAGATTTTCTCACTATTAGCCAAGGCTCAACCGACATTAACATGAGGGAGTCATAGTTTAGCTTGAAATTATGGACACTAAATTTCAGATTTAAATCCAGGATTATTTTTATAAAAGATTGCAAATCAGACATCTTTTTATCAATCCATGATAAAACATAAAAAAAAAAATATATATATATATATATATATATATATATATATATATATATATATATATATATATATATATATATATTTTTTTTTTTTAAGTAAAAATCTCGGTTTGCATTTAAACAATCAGACCTTTATTATAACTGGTGATTAGCTTTCATAGCTGTTTTCGTTGATATTTACAATAATGATCTTGTTTTTTTGTTTTTTTTGTCCCTATGGTTCAAAGGCTCTTTTCCATCTGAAGTATTGGACAAATAATTCATAAAATCTGCCAGGGGTACGGGTCATTTTAGGCTTAACCGTTAGTAGAATGAAGCTCACGATGAAGTACGATCTATGGAGCAGGAGGAAAATGTTTTTTTCTTTGTTTTGGTGCAAAATTAACTGGAGCTGCTAGAAAAAAGGAGGTTCTGAATGATCTATGAATCATTTCAGAGTAGATTTACTAAGGACTTTTACAGCCTTTCATGCAGAGTAGGACAGTCTTTTAGTAACGAATAATTACTAAGTAATTAGGCTGCCTGTGTTTGGGTGAAATGATGTTAGAGCATAATGGCAGCTAATTTAACAGAACAGAGAAGGGTTTCCTACAAAAAAAACCCTGTGTGGAAAGAAAAAAATGAAATATCCATAAAAAAGAAAAACATCATCACTGATCAAACAGTAATATGAATTTAGGTTTATCTCTGATTAAAATGACCGTTTCTCCCATCTCATAATTAACACTTGAACTACTTTTTCATTTGCAAAAAATAAAAAGGAAAGCTGATGAGAACAGTTTAAAAAAATTTGTTAAAAACATGAATTTATTAACTTTAATTTAGGCAGTGTATAATTTGGCTGTTTTTTTATTAAACCAAAGAAGTCTAATTCATAAACAAGCTGAATAACTAATAATTAAATTATTAATTATAATTACTAATTTAATATTAATTGTATAATAATATTTAATTATAATGAATAAATATATGATAATAACCATAAGGATAGGCAGTTGTTTTTAGGATAGCTGCTGAAACGTTGCTGAAAAGTTAAACAAGTGAAAAACATGGAAACATAAGTATTCCACAAGTTAATTAATAAGAAAAAGACAGAAATGTTGAAATATGTATCACCATTAAAAAGATAAACAGTAGCATTTTTCCATTATTGCAGTTTGTGAAGGTCGTCTGCGACAAGAAGAGAAGGAGTAACAACAAGAAAACCTATTTTTTGTAAAAGCTGAATTTTTGAAAAATAAAGTGGGGAAAACTGTTTTTTTCCCCCTTAGCAACCTGTCGTGCTTTCAAAACTTCTCTGCTTAATTAGTCTCTGATCATTAAGGTATTTGCAGAACTCCATGACCCAACAACAAACTGGTCTTTATCTGTTTTATTTTTAAGCAGCTAAAGCTCCAGCTGGGTTTCAATCAGAACCAGAGATGTTCTAGACGTTGGGTTTTGTATCGGTCACCTCTTATTTGTTCATTATAGCTCCTTTCTTATTCACTTTCCAAAGCTTTTTAACATGATTGTCCATTTTATCAACTGTCAGACCTGAACATCATTTCCTAGTGAACAACTGGACCGACTCTTATTTATTATAAAAATGTTGAAAGGCTTATTATTTTATTTTAGGTTTAAAGGAAGCTGAAGGTTGTTGAGGATTGATAAATTGCCTCCAAGCTCCAGTCTGATGATTTTTCGTGTTTCCATGGAGAATCATGAATAACAGCGGCTGTTGGTTCTGATCTTCACCTCATACAGAGGTTTAAAGGCTTCCTTTACAGCTGCTAAAACAACTGGATCTGGATAGACTCTAAAGTGAAGAGTCATATCAGACTTGTTTAAGCTGCAAAGTCAACTTTGACGTGCGCCCATCATCTTACTGAGCAAAGAGAAATGTGTCCTCCAGTCTGAAGCATCATACAAACAGGATGATGGTGTCAGACTGACTCTGCTCTCTGTCAGAACATGTTTTCTCACTAACCTCCTTCTACCTCTGTGTCCCAGTGTGAAGTGCCGAGCTTCCAGACTCTGTTCGGAATCAGAGCTGGAGCTGAGGAGCATCCTCCAGGACCCCCTGCTGAACTACTGTCACTGGTCCAATTCCGTCTCCCAGGTGATGGAGGCCTCCAACAATGTCAGCGACTTCTCCGACTCCGCCACGCTGCTGCGCAGGATCGAGGTATCACACAGAAACACGCTGATCTGTGGCCTTCAGCAGCAACTCGCTGTGCACGCTTTGTTCTACTTTGCTCCCAAGCATTTTGTAGAGGATGACTTTAAAGTCGTAGGGAAATCATATTTAAATGTCAAATCATTCTGGCTTAAAAATGTATAAAAATGTACTCTTTATCAGACCATATTGTCCCAAAATGTAGAAAATTCTGTTTAGAAAAAAAATCTTTTTTTCGTTATCTTATTCAGGCCAGTTAATTATACGTCAGCTTGTACTGTACACCTAAATTCGGCCAATCATATATCAATGGTCATCTGTCAATCAAATTTTTTCAGTCATGGCATCTTGAATCATAAGTCGCAGGTAATATATGCAACAGTTGAAATAAGAAATAAGAATAATTTACTTTACCATTGAGTTACGTCCCAGTATTCACAGGAATGGATGTCTGTGTCTTCGGCAGGCGTGCAATTTAGTGCTACTTGGTCCCTATGTAATTTCCCATTGGGAACCTACTAGCACTAAGTTGCTAACTGGTTAGCAAGATGCCCCCAACCAACCGGCCACAATCAAACTTGCATTTGAACCTTCCGCCACAACAATCCCGCCCTCTTGATAAACGACCAATCACATTCACTTTATTCACTCGTGTAAAGTCATGCACCACTTGGGAGAATTCAGAAATGCAACGGTTGGAACAACTTTAAATACTTTTTTAAGTCAGGATAAGAGTTTAAAAATATAAACAGACAATGGAAAACCTATTAGAATTCCAGTTTCCATTAGTGTTCCATTACTGCAAAAATAACAGACTATTTTACAATGATTCCTATAAATTCTGTTCTCTTGGTCTTAATTTGCCTGATCATGATGGAGGTTTTTGTGAAACTATAAGCTGTTTTACTTCTTTTAATTGAAACCCACACATTAAACACCTTCATAACACAAATGGTGTATCTCCATTCCTCATGTACAATTTCTTAGCAATATTTTCCTTCCACTGAACTTTTCCTTAATATGGTTAAATAAAGGAATCCCTGTGAAAAGTCAGCTTGTTTAGCAATGATCTTATGACCAGAAATAGACTTTGAAACATATTTAACTCTTGATATTCTTCATGTAAGCTTCATATTTAGATTTTTGTTAATGAAAGATTTATTTTTAGGTTCCTGAAATGCAGCTCTCTGTAGGAAGTTGGGATGATCCCTTCCAGTTATAACATCAGCTGCTTTCTTAAAAACTCCACCCGTCTCCAATGGTTTAGTGTCCAACATTGACTTCTGATGGTTATGTCCCAGTGCTACTGTGTCCCGCCTAATTTCTGCCCTCTCTTTTCTCCTTCAGGGTCTCCTGCTGAACAGCGCCGAGCTGCAGGAGCGTCTGGGCCTGCTGCAGGTGAAAGGAGACCTGCTGGATTCAGTGTTCGGTCCTGAGAGGTCTGACAGCCTCCGCGTTGACCTGAACACTGCCATCAGGAACAGAGAGCTGCTGCACCATCAGCTGCTGGAGAGGAAGAACAGACTGCAGGTAACTAAGCTGGGATTTTAGGTTATGGTCTCCTTTTTTTTCTTGTGATGGCTGATCGAAGCTTTTTACACAACTTTGCATCTTAAAACAAAGATTCACTGCTCAAGTTGGACATCTAGTGGTAAAGAGAAATAACTGAAATGAGACGTCGCCATTATCATCAGTTTATTTTTCTATGAAACAAATCATGCTGCTCTACATCACATGTGCAAATTTCTTTCGGAAAGCAATGAAGGAAAACCACTGAACGGGAAGAGCCTGCTTTGACACAGTAAAGGATGCACCCAACAATCTGATCCAGTTTAAGCAGTTAGATTTAAGCAGTTCTCTGAAAGTGCTCCAAATGTCTACAGTCACTTGATTAAACAGTGCCTCAGCACATAGGTTTGGTCAGTTTCTAGGCTCAATGTGTTGGAGGATCATTAGCTCCTTCCTGTTTCCTAGCGCATCTCTGTTGGGAGGAGATGAAACAGTCAATCGACTCACAAACTATAAAAACTCTTGTCTTTTCTAATTCAATAAATGCAACAAAATTATTTTTTCCTTCCTTCCTTCCTTCCTTCCTTCCTTCCTTCCTTCCTTCCTTCCTTCCTTCCTTCCTTCCTTCCTTCCTTCCTTCCTTCCTTCCTTCCTTCCTTCCTTCCTTCCTTCCTTCGAAGCATAATAACCACCAGCTTGTTCTTTCCTGCACTTTTTCTGAGTTCAATAAAGTCTGATAAATGTTAGCAATACTTCCTTTAACTGAGAAATAGGATAATCTTGTATTTGCTTTATTCTTGCTAAAGTGAAAGCTATTTCTTCTATAGTTCCCTTTTTTGTTATTGAATATTGATTAGCAGTATTCTGCTAGGAAAGCTTGACTAGGAACATCCCTAGAGATAAAGATTGAATAAATGAATGTGATGAAAACCAAAAAGCTGGATGTGAATATTTGGATAAACTTCTCTTTGCAGCTCCAGCTCTCTTTGCTGCAGGTTCTCTTTATCCTCAGCATCTAAACTTCCCTCCTTAACAGGCTGGGAACTCTACCTGCAGTTCGCTCGCTGCAGTTTCCCACCACAGCAGCTCTCGCCTGCTGTGTTTTGAGGATGGAGCCCTCCCATCTCTCTGTTGGAAACTCATCCTGTATTCTTTCCTCTGCCTCTGTCAAGGTTGCATCAGAAAGCTGATGTTTGGTTTCAGAACTGGAATCAGCCTGGAGCTCCTGTTTCTCGCAGAGGAAACAGAAACTCCTCTGATATTTGCCCTGTTTGTGCTCTGCTGCCGCTCACACCTAGGACTCTGACAGAGCTTTGTTGACTGAATGAGTGAAAATTATCAAACTGGAGGGAAAGTTTTGAGCTAAACAGGCCAGCTATTCTGATGCTCTGCCTCTAACCCACCAATGTCCATCAGTTACCATCCTGATGATCCAGAGGCATGCAGCTACCTGTCCACAAGCACCTGCTGCTATTCAGCTATTTATTGACAGATGAAGCTGCAGATGGAATCTATAATTAGGATCATATCCACCCAGAGTGATCAGATTTAAAGTTCTAGTTCAGGTTTTTAGGAGGCAGAGTCCAAACTGTGATGAAGAGTATCTCCTCTGACAGATTTAGATCCCTCCAACATGCTGATTTTCTCCTTTTCTCCCAGAATTTAATCTCCCGAACCAAAGACTTTGACAAAGAGTACCAGCTGACCCTTGCCAAGTTGTCGGCGTTCAGGGAGCGACTGCAGGCTGCTGATGTTCTCCAACCAGACATCCTGGCCAAAAAAAGCCAGCTGGACCAGATGTTGGTAAGTTACTTCAAACTGACTCAGCAGGGATGCTTTGATTTTATACAATAATCAGTAAAAGCTTCTAGCTGCTTCGTCATCAGGAGTATTGCTAAGCTAAACCTCCAGGTTGTTAAAGCTATCGCTACAGTCGCTAATATTTGAAGAAATCAGATTACTTCTGCATGTCTGTTTATTTCATGATCCCTCAGTCGGCCTCAGCAGAAAGCCGCTCACACTGATCCTAGTTCAGCTGGAGGTTTCTTCCAAATAAAACTGAGTATTTCCTCTCCACTCTTGCTGCATGCTTGCTCAGTGTGAGGGATTGTTGTAGAGTCAACAACAAAATGCAAGCGAATATCCGCTATCACCACCTGCTCACCCAGGAGAAGCTCGTCCTGCAAAGTCACGGATTTGATGCAATCATCTGGTTTTCCTTGTTTCCAAGGATCCTCCTGTATAATCTGATTGAATTACTTCTATAAAATGCCTTGAGATAACAGGTTGTGAGTCTGCACTATATGAATGAACTGAATTGAATTGAACATGTTATTTTTATAAACCATGGCTATCAGATATATGGTCAGGTCGGTTTTCTGTTGCATCAGAACCGGATGAAGAGTATTTGTTCAAGCGTATCTTAAAAATTAATATGAACAACATTTAGATTTATCGCCATTGAGGATGCAACTAAGAATTATTTTGCTAATCGATTAAAATTAAAATAGGAGAAACAAAAATGTTTTCACCCATGGCGCTCTGGATAGAACATATAAATAGATTAAATGTTTAGATTTTTTCTTAATCTTAAAAATGTTTTCCAATTTAGGTATAATTACTGCATGTTTCAGAGTCTCTGTACTGCAGTCAACAATTATCTGATCACTAAATTGATTGACGCAGATTGGTTTCACTAATCAATTGATCACGATTAATTGTTTCAGCCTTAATTCAAATTTAATTCTAAAGTCAAATTGTTGAATGGGGGGATTAGTAACATTTTTAAATATGTAGTTCTGTTCATTTTTACAGCTAATCAAGATTAAAAAAAAAACAACACAGTTCAGGTTTTTTTTTTTTTTCTTTTGGGAGTTGAGGACATCATCAGACCAATAAAATTGTAATTCCCACTAAGAGATGTAATTTTTTGGCGCTGTTGCCACCTATGAAATTCATAGTGAAGACTAACAGTAGTGTGCTTTATGCAATCATATTAATGGAAACATGAGTGGAAGAAAAAAAGGCGTCAGAAAAACGGACTGTTGGACCAGAGATTACGTCAGAAGCATCTTACCTGGGATGAAAGGAGGAACGAACTGGGCTGTTGCTCTGTGGTCGTCTTTTAGAGATGAAAGTCAGTTTTGCTTTTCATCTATAAAATTGGAAGTCTCTGAGTCGGATGGAGTGGAGAAGGCACAGAATCAGAGTTAGTGTTTTGTAGAAGTCTGGGATGATCTGGGGAAGCCAGTCAGTGCAGGCGATTATCTTTGCTGATGAGCTTAATGGAGACTGATTTCATTATTTTAGCAGGATCTGCTCCCACTGCCAACCACTAATGGTACTGTGGTCACTAAAGCAGGTGTTGGTGCTTATAAATATCTCAAAAGAACCAAAGGCTGATCATCTTCATTGCTCTGCTGATGCAGTAGTGCACGATTAAAAAACCCCATATGGCCATAGAATTCAGCAGGGCCATATTTCTGCATTGACGTGGCTCTTTTCAAGGTTTTATTAACTGGGAGGGATGACACAGATCTGGGAATCCTTTTCTAACACCACAAAATCTGCCTTTATTGGTAATTTTTATTCATTCCAATAAAAAAAAAAAACAGATTTTTTTTGTTTGTTTTCATTACTTGTAAATAGTCGAACAGTATCAGGAACACACTTTAAATAGCCATTGAGTGTGCTGAGTCCATATAAAGTGTGTTTCTCACCTTGTTAATCCTAATTACATTTATTAAGCTTCCCTAAGAGGTGTTATTATTAAACTAATATCTGATTTAAACAAAACCAGAACCAGTCTGAGGTCTGTGATCACTACCTGCTTTTTATCTGTGTCCAGGTTCTCCAGAAAGAGCTGGAGGACGGTAAGGCCCAGCTGATGGTTCTGGAAACTCTGATTTCATCCAGCCAGGGCAGCAGGACTCAGTATGAGAAGCTGTGTGTCGATTGGACCGAGCTTCTGAGGAGAGTAACGGTAATCCATCCATCCATCCTCCCTCCCTCGCTCCTAAATTGTAACCCCAAATTTTTTTTTTTTATAATAAATATGTTCTGTTCATCTGGAGGCAAAGCTGATGTTTCCTTTGTGTCCAGGTCAAAGTTCAGGACTGTAAGGATATCGTTTCTGGCCATGAAAGTTTTGACTATGAGTTTCGGAACATGGAGGAGTGGATGCTGAGGCAGAAGCCGGAGTCGTTCCAAAGTGTGAAAGGTCGCCACACTGAAGCCGAGGTTGGTTTTCTGATCCACCAGAGGGAAAAGTTGCTGGTTCTGAGGGATTCAGGTCAGCTGGAAGGGAAAAGACTAGTTTCTGTTTTTCTGTTTTAGCTAAAGTTAAACAGAAAGTGAGTTCTTGCAGTTTTAATGCAGAGTTCAGTGTGACCTTTAACTCTCCAAAAGTTTTTCAGCTTTTAGCCTGATCTGGTTCTCTTTTTTGATCCGTTTCTATGACAGCACAGCTAAACTTTCCGATTTTCCCTTTTCTTTTAGATGTCCATCCAAACAGAATAAAATAAGATGGGTAACCACAGTAACAGCCCTGCTGTCCAACCCAGCACAATACACCCTGAGATTTTCAGCCATGCAGCTTTTATGATAGAAGAATAAAGTCCAGCAGGGATGTTTTATGGAGAGCCTCAGATATTTTCTCTGCGGCTTTAACTGAGTTTAACATTTAAACAGCTGGATGTTGTAACAGCCAGTCAACAGTCCTCCGGCAGGTCACATGGATGTAGGAGCATTTTCTTGGTTTTTTTGCAAGTTTTAGCCTCCCAAAAAAATGTTTTTTAAAACTTAGAATAAAAATAGTTTATACATGTGAATTTTTTCCCCTCTTACTAATTAGTAGTTGATTTTACTTAAGTAATTTGTTTAAAAAAAGAGACACTCTTTTAGTGTAACATTTACTTCTATTAATTTTCTTGATCAAAGCTTTAATGTCTTCAGTCATTTTCTCCTTTGCCAAGTTAAAACACTTCTAATTTCTTTCTTTAAGGAGTGGCTTAACATAAATAGCTTCCAGCCTGCATCCTTAAACATTATTATGGGTCAACTCTTAATCATCTGGGTCCAGCCTAAATCATTCTGATGAATCTCCCATAAACAGTCTTTGCTTTCACTTTCTTTAATGCTCTTATTGTTGCTGTGTATTTTTTATTTTTTTACAGAATGTTTTCCTTTGACTAAACTTTCCATCATATTGCTTGAATTCAGCAACCTGATGAGCTAAATCGGTACCACTGACTGTGTTTGGCTCACCTTCCATTATGTAGGGCGGTAGAGACCTTTGGTTCTTCTAATTGTCAATCATTCTGATGATATGTTTACGTAAGGCCGTCCTATGTGCTGGTCCCCATCTTCACTTACAGGTGGTCAGTCTGACATAGTGGAAAAATCTTCTTCTGGAAACTAAGCTTGTATGAGTGATGCAAACAGAAACCTTTAAACAGAGCGTGCACAAAGAGAAATGGGCTTTTGCGCGCGGCGTTCCTTCTAGGGAGTGGGTACAGGGTTGTGCATGTGCATTTTTTTGTGTTTTTTTTTTTAAGTTAAGAGGGTGGGTCTTTCCAAAAATTCAAGAAAATCCTCCACTATACCTTTAAGTTATCAGTCTTCTCTATGACCGTCAGTACCAGGGGCTCCTAACCCAGACTTTGGGAGCCACTGTTTGTTTTGCTTTTGGATCTCCAACTGTGGGGTTCTAATATCTCCAGAAATTAAACTAAATAACAGAAATAATTATGGTAATGCATATTTGTATCAGGAAATATCAAATTATTAATAAATGGGTAAAAGCAATATTTGTGACATTTCTAAACATGTCAGTTGCAAAGTCCATTGTCCAGCGTAGTAACTCCTATAGCAAGGATGTCAAAGCCAAATACACCGAAGGCCAAAAAAGGGCCAGACTGGTTAAATGTTTATTAAAACGTATTGAAATAAACATTGCCTATTGAACCAAGTTCTAACACATTATTTTTTTAACAAAATAATAATATCAATATTATTAATAAACTTTTATTATATTAATAAATGTATTAAGATAAATACATAAATGAAGTTACATGCATTATAAACCGAAAATGCATTACTGTGCTGCTCTATCTTCCAACCGATAACTGCTTCCAGAAAACGGGAAAATATGATTGTGTTTTTCTTTTCTTTTAATTTTTTGCTGTGCTCTGCATGTTTGGATTGTTTTGTTTTTTTATTTCCCCCCTTTAATAATCCAAGCACACTGATCTGAAGCCGGTTGTATAAGGAGGCGGAGTGCAGTAACTGCGCTGTGCAAATGCTGCACACAGGTGTCAGCGAAGGTTGATTGAAGCCAAAATAAAAGGAGCCTGGATGGAAGGAGAGGGGAGCAGATCCTGCAGGTGATAAAAACGGACACGCTGCCAGGCACAGAATACTGGGAGGTGAACAGAAGGGACAGTCAGGGCAGAGGTCCGCGCCTGTGAGTAGTGCTCAATCTCGATCAGAGTATCAGTAGGAAATACATCCTCTGACGGAGTCTTGGTGCGGGGATGCTTACGTTTTTCTGCATCTTTCTTTTAGATAGATCGGTCTGAAAAGCGATCACAATCATATTTTCCTGTTGGAATGTACTGTTTATGCGTGCAACACAACCGCACCAACACTACATTCCCCACAATGCAACGGTAGCCCACAAAGTCACAGCAGCGCTTGACTTTAACATATGTGACCTATAGAAGAAAGCAGATTCTTCATGATAAAAACCTGATTTCTAATCTATCTCAATGTTCTGTGTTTTTTCCTCAGAGACTTCTAGGAGAGTTTACTGAGAACGAGCTGCAGTTGCAACAGATAGAGGCTCAGAGTGAGAATGTTCTAAGGAGAACATCAAAGGATGGGCAGGTCCACATCCTGAAGGACATGGAGCGGCTCAAGGAACGCTGGTTTAACCTGCAAAGATTGAGCCAGACTCTGATAAGGTATCTGCTTCAAGCCAAAACCAAAGCTGGTACTGATCCAAGTTCTGTTCTATATCAGACTAAGTGTTTCTGTTTGGTCAGGCTGCTGGAAAGCTCCTCGGAGACTCGCTTTGGATCAGCAGAGAGCAGTGGACAGTCTGAAAGTTTCAATCCAAACACCAAGACTGGCTCTAAGGCAGCAGAAATGGATCTTTCTGGTCATGGCCGTTCAGTAAGTATAAGACCGCCGGTTAAAGGAGGAGCTGAAGGACACAAGGAGTTTCCTCCATCCTTAGGGGGAGATGACGGCGAGGTAGAAGGTCTCCTTTGGCTCTATCTGAGAACATTCACCCCATCACATATTCTTGGTCCTTTTTTTTTTATTTTTTAGGACATTTACAAATAAATATTCTCAAAAAAGACCCAAAATATTAGAACAGAGAAACTCTAGCAATGATGTGTGTCTGATCAGAAACACCTTCTGAATATACAGGTTAGCCAACAAGGGTTCGTATTTAACTTTTTTACCCAGTGGCCACTATGGTTAGTGTTTTTCCAAAGTTACAAGCTTTTTTATGTGATGCCTCTTTCAAGATATGCTTTGTACAAAGCAATGCAAAACACTTTAAATACGTTTAAAAGTCAAGATGAACTCTATAGGGTCATTTAAAGCCTTCAATAATATTTTTCCTCAACCAGAGCTACATAAATCAATCTTATATTATCAAATTCAACGTAAAACAGCAGAATCAATCAGTGGGTGAAGCTGTGCATCAATTGGATGCAGACTAAGGGGCTTCATTAATGCAACTGTTTCAAAGATAAACATTACTTTAACATCTTACCTTTTTTAATTTAAATGGGTTTAGTGGAAGCTTTCTGCATTTGTCACTCATTTTCAATTAGAGAAATAAAGAAGCTCTTCTCTCTCTGCCTGCAGGGATTGGCTGCAGAGCTGCGATTGAGTCTCTTCCAGTACTGCAGGAGAGGGAGGGGCTCTCAGTGCAATCAGTGCTATCATGTGCTGTCACTAAAGTCACCAATAACATAAAAAAATCACCAGAATTGTCACTAGTAACTTAAAAAAAAAGCTAAGTATAGTGATAAAGTCACTAAGATGGCAACAGTGTGTTGGTTTGAATCTGCCCCGACAGCTTATCAGCTTTGATCTCCACAGAGACCGCCTTTCTGAATCAACATCGATCACAAACGAACTAATGAGCAAACACTGTGCTCATGGGAGATGTAGTGTCACAGGGTCACATTTAGATCAGCTTATTATCTCAGATGACGTTAAAAAGGAAATGAATCCAACTGGGTCTGATCCCTGGGTCTTTTCACCTCTTTAGGTTTTATTACTGAAGTTTCAATATCTGTTTGGACATTTTGTCTCTACAACATGCTCAATAAGGGCTCGCACTGGCAACAAGGCATGACGTAATGGTTCTAGTTCAGACCAAGGTTGTTTTTTGTCTAATCAGGGCAGCAGAGGATTCAACAAATTCGACTGGAGTCAGTTTGAGGCCTGGTTGAGCAGGGAGAACGAAGTTCTGATGAAGATAATCGGAACCAACAAGAGGGCCTTTACTGCCGAGGAGGTGCAAACCAGACGGGGAGCCCTGCAGGTAACGGATCTTCAAGGAGCAGGAAATCAATTTGATTGGAAAATAAGGTGCAAAACATAAGTGAAATATGGCTTAATGATAAACAGATGATGAAATTTTTTTAAGGTTTTATGTTGATAGAATGGCTTTTAGTTCTAAAATATATTCTATGAAAAAAATTTTGTTTTTAGAATAATTTGAATGTATTATGTCAACCAGTTAATAACAGTGTAATAACGTGTTATTCATGTATTGGTATTCTTAATACTTTTATATTAATTGTTTATACGTTACCATGTTAATACATGTCGACATGTAAGTAGTATATTCAAGTAGCATAGTGCACGTCCCAGTGTTTGTAGATGATTGCCTCCTTCTGGTGACAAGTTAAAACGACACCAGTGTTGTGCGTGTGCTCTGGAAAAGATGAGAGGCACTGCAGTCTGCCACTGCAACTCCACAGGTTTCATCAAGAGGTGTAATGTATTTTGGATTAAATAGGTTACTAAAATTGAAGTTATTTTGATTGACTTTGATTTTAGCAAAAGGAGGGTCAACTGTAGGTCCCTTTTTATCTCCAGGGCAGACAGAATCATCCTCCATTTGTTAAAAAATGACCCAATATTTTCTTTTCTTTTATTCTGTCGCTGATCAGACTCCAGACTGCCCCCCTTTCACTCCAATAAGCACACATTTTTTTATTCTCACTGTTGTGCGGAGTCTGTGATGGAGTTTGACGTTTACTTTAAGCCTGTTGTGATCCATCTACAAAATAAGTCCCCTGTGTTCCCTTGCCAATGCATCAACGGCTGCAGAGACTGTTAAAGTAGTCATTTGGACCTAACCCTGCAGAGTGTAACATCTACGTTCCTAGATAATCTGACCGAATCCCTCTCATGACCTGAGTAATAGGGCAACTATGGTATATAGCTTATTTTGCATATCTACAATTATAAAGGGCCTCTATGTTCAAAATTAAACTGTTTAAAAATTAAACTTTTGCAATGCTCCTTTTACACAATAATAACTTAATAATGCATATAAATGATCTTATAACTTTATTGTCATAAGGTTCTTAAAATGTTAATTATGTGGTAATAATTAATAGTTGGTAAATAACTCTCGTGTTCTGCTTTAGGCTCTGAGATCCAGACTGCCTGAGGGTGAGCAGATGTTTCAGCTGCTGGTCGATCAGCATCTAAGCACTAAGAGTGAAGATGAAACTCTGGAGGACCTTCGATATCGTTGGATGCTCTATAAATCCAAGCTGCGGGAGGCAGAGAGCTACCTTGTGATGGAAACTCGCAAGGTGATTAAATATTTCTATAGCTCTTCTAATTTATATAGCTCTAGTTTACCATAAATGTCAGAATCTGAAGGAGTTTCAGAAGACAATCGGATCCAAATCAGTCATGTTTAGAGTTAGCTTCAGCTTTTAGCGCACTGTCTTTGAGCAACCACTAGGAGGCAGTGCAGCCTTATTTCTGATGCTGCAGGGAGGTTTCATTAACAGGTTATGTATATGTATTGAATAAACTAATACCTGATGCTCTGTCTTTCTGCAGAGAGATCAAGAGGGTGTGAATGGGGCAGTCTCTGAAACAAGAACAGAAAAGGTAATTTATCAGTAACACCATTACTTTAAAAACTGGACACATGATTAAAAAAAAAATGCTGTAAAGAAGCAAACGTTCAAGCATTTGGATATTTGCTGCTTTATGTTTAATTGTTCTGAACGTCCTTTTCATCTCTCTGTTCTCAGAAACCCTGGCTGCTGTGGAGGATTTGTCGTTTGGCATTTCTTTTGTGGCTCCTCTTCCTCGCTCTGCTGCTCCTCGCCTTCCTGCTGCCGCTCATGGACGACGGAAACAGTTGCTCACTCTCCAACAACTTTGCCCGATCCTTCAGCGTCATGCTGCGCTACGACGGGCCTCCTCCTACATAAGAACCAGAGCAGGGATGGGGGTCTTACAGCAGCTTTGAATAAATAATCCAAGGTCCAGCTGGAGAACCTTATCTTTACTCTGCACGGACTTCCTGCAGCCTTTTACGGTTTACTCTACTACCAACCTTATCCAGCTTACGGTTTTTCAGCATGGTAACTCTGTCAGCATGGCCAGGCCCATCACACCTCACCTGCCCACAGGTGGTCATGCTGAGGAGGCTATAAAGGCTTCAGTACCATCACATCCAGGGTGAAGGAGCTCAGCTTCATTCGGTTCAGGGCAGCAAAATGTCAATCATGTGAAAACCTTGTGCAACAAGGTTTAACATAAGATGAAGTTTTAGCTATTTTTAGTCTGGTTTACAGTCACTGTAACAGCAGAAGGTGTTATTTTTCTCTGTTATGTATTTATCGTGTTTTTGATTAGGTTAAAATAAAAATTCTGACCTGCAATCATCTGTTTCTGTCTGATTTCTATTGTTGTATGTAGTACAAGTACAGAACAGACCAAAAGTTTAGAGACACCTTCTCATTCAAAGAGTTTTCTTTATTTTCATGACTATAACAATTTTAGATTCACACTGAAGGCATCAGAACTATGAATTACCACATGTGGAACTATATACTACACGAAAAAGTGTGAAACAACTGAAAATGTCTTATATTCTAGTTTCTTCAAAGTAGCCACCTTTTGCTTTGATTACTGCTTCGCACACTTTTGGCATTCTCTTGATGAACTTCAGAGGTAGTCTCCTGAAAAGGTTTTTGCTTCACAGTTGTCCCTGTCAGGTTTAATAAGTAGGATTTCTTGCCTTATAAATGGGGTTGGGTCCATCAGTTGTGTTGTGCAGAAGTCAGGTGGATATAGAGCTGATAATCCTACTGAATAGACTGTTAGAATTTGTATTATGGCAAGAAAAAAAAGCAGCTAAATAAAGATAAAAAGAGTGGCTAAAATTACTTTGAGAAATCAAGGTCAGACAGTGCGAAAAATTGGCAAAACTTTGAAAGTGTCCCAAAGTGCAGCCGCAAAAACCATTGAGCGCTACAAAGAAACTGTCTCACATGAGGATCACCCCAGGAAAGGAAGACCAAGAGTCGCCTCTGCTGCAGAGGCCTCAGAAATCGCAGGTTAACAGCAGCTCAGATTAGAGACCAGGTCAATACCACATAGAGTTCTAGCAGCAGACACATCTCCAGAACAACTGTTAAGAGGAGACTGTGTGAATCAGGCCTTCATGGTAAAATAGCTGCTAGGAAACCACTGCTAAGGACAGGCAACAAGCAGAAAAAACTTGCTTGGGCTAAAGAACACAAGGAATGGACATTAGACCAGTGGAAATCTGTGCTTCAGTCGACTGGGTCCAAATTTAAGTTGTTGTTGGTATATATTGCCACAACAGAACCAAATCAATTTGATGAACCACATCAAACCCTCCCCTTCACTTTTTACAAGGAGAACAACAGACTGGTTCTGGAAACGTCCAGCCAAGGAGACAGTCTGCTCATGCATGGACCAATCAGCTGACAAGAAGGCTGGAATCCCAGCAGGAATTACCCCTACGTCATTCAGGGTTTAAATCCATAGCACGAGACCGAATCGACCTCTTTTCTTGGGTTTCACCGCCTGCAAGGAGAGGCCCGTTTCACGTGAACTGCTAAAGAAAGCTAGCTGGAAGTTGCTTTCGTTTTCCTGTGTCAAAAGTAACGGATCGCAGTGACCCATCATGCATAGCGCCTGCTGAACTGGGTGAGACGGGGAAATCCGGAGCTAAATGCTGTGTGGATTTCCCCCCCTTTGTGAAGACCTCCATACCAATCACGGCCTATCTGCAGGGGGACGCTCCTGCTTTCGATAGCGTGTAAGTAGCCTTCCTCGATCTTTAAAAGCCCATCAAGTTCCTCTGCTGTAGCATCAGACTGATCTAAAATTTTTCCAAGAACGGACTGGATCATTTAAACTAAATGTATTTTACATTGTGTTAATGGCACTTTTGTTATTATCATACCTGCTGCTATTCCAACGGACATTAGTGAATGTATTAACATCATGCCTATCTTGGACAATCTCAGAAGCCAGTTAAATAGACTCTTAGGGTTTTACTCTTTTTCTAGTCTACCTCGTGTTTATTCTCTAATAGCGTGTAGTGTTTTGCATAGATGTTAGATTTCTGTAATGCTGAATAATTAGAATAAAGACATCGGTGTTTAACTTGCAGTTCTTTGTGAGAATGGTTTATCACTCTGGCCAGATTCACCCTCTTTTGGTAATAGTTTGAATAAACAGAGATAAATAGTTCTTTGATTGCTAATTATCAGCTCTGCTGATAACCTAGCCTAGGTCACTAAATTGGTGGGAATATCTGGATTTTAAAAGCCGGTCCAGGAACCATCCAGAGGTGAAAGGCACAAACCCTGGTAAGTAAGCAAATTAGAGCTACAATTATTCAACTAAGAACACTAAATTGATTTCACCTCCGATTTTAAATCAGTTAAATAATTAACTACAACTCAAGTTCTAATTAATAATTTATTCATTATCTGCAGGATATCATGTTGCACAACATTGGTTCCAACCATTGTGTCTTTGTGCGACACAGAAAAGGTGAACGGATGGGCTCTACATGCCTGGTTCCCACCATGAAGCATGGAGGAGGAGGTGTGATGATGTTGGGTGCTTTGCTGGTGACACTGCTGGGGATTTATTCAAAATTGAAGGCATACTGAACTAGCATGGCTACCACAGCATCTTGCTATTCCATCCTGTTTGCGTTAAGTTGGATGATCATTTATTTTTTAACAGGACAATGACCCAAAACACACCTCCAGGCTGTGTAAGGGCTATTTGACCAGGAAAGAGAGTGATAGGGTGCAGCACCAGATGACCTGGCCTCCAAAATGACCGGAACTGAACCCAGTTGAGATGGTTTGGGCCAACAAGTGCTAAGCATCTTTGGGAACTCCTGCCAGACTGTTGGAAGACCATTTCACGTGACTACCTTTTGAAGCTCATCAAGAGAATACCAAGAGTGATGCCACAGCCCACGGACTCCGCTGGCAGCCAGTCACCCTGAAGTGGAACCGGCCATGGGCCCCGGGGACCCGAGGGGGCCAGGCCCCAGAAAGCAGCTGCCAGAAATAAGCCAGCCCCCGCCCGGGCATCCACCTTCAAACACTGAGCAGGCCCAATGCACCGGCGGGCCAAAGCTTCAGCCAGCAGAGGGGGATAGGACGGGCGGAATGGGCTCCACACTTAGCAGAGACTTGATATGTTCTTAGGAGAGGGAGCAGTTCAGACCCAAACCTGACAAGTTAAAAAAAACATACACAGTCTCAATCATGCCTTCCCACCCAAGTGCCCCCGCTCGAAACACACAGCCTCTTCATAAAAATAAAAATAAAATGCGTAAGCACATTCACACATCCCACTCACATCCGATAATCCCAGGACCGAGGACCCTGCAGTGCCGGTGATCGGTTCCTGGATTACCAGATGACCCAGTATTATTTATGCATTTTATGAAAATATGTTTATGGTTTTTGTTTTTGCAAATTATTGAAATATATTTAATCCAGGTTATGCTAGTCCTGTTATTATATCATTTTTTGTAGCATTTTAGTGTGATGGGATTTTCCCACGGAGTAACACTATGGCTCCTCCTTGCAGGAGCTTGTTTTATGCCAGAGACTGACCTCATCTAGATGCCCATTACGTGAAATGCAGGTATGTTTTACCAAATATCTTGTAGCAGATGGTTAACATAAGACTGAGTTTTATATTAACAGCTTTATATAAAGATATGGTTTATTTATGTTTTTGCATTGTTACAAGATGCAAGTTTCTATAAACTAAAATATAAAAATGGCATCCAGCAAATAAAATGTCAGCATTTTATTTTATTTTTCAGAGAATTTTAATTAACTAATTCCTTTACTGCAAACAAAAGCCACTATGCGATCACTGTCATTTTCAATTACTTTTTTAGGTTTAATATATTATGGGTAATCTTCAGAACTGTGAGGATCACTGATGAGGAGCTTGTTTTATACCAGAAGCTGACCTTATCTGGATGTCCATTATGTAAAATGCAGATGAAGAATTATAGAAAAACAACCGATGCAAACTTGAGCTCCCTGTCATTTATTGCCACACCGAGAGAAGCCACCAGAACAACATAGGCCACTTCGAGCACCGCCCAGATCCCCAAGACCCAGGGACCCCCATTCTGCCCATTTGTGGTTGCCATGATCCAAACGACTGAGTATTTACAAAGATCGTGATGTAAACACATTTATATGTAGTTTGTTATATTTTAATTAAAGTTTGGAAAAGTTTTACACATTAAAAATTGTTTTGTTATATAGCATATTACATTTCTTTGAAGAACGTTAAGAGTTTTCATTTTGTACTCTTACAATAAAAAATACATACCATAGCCACAACAGAATATGTTCATTAGCACATTTATATGTCTATTATCAGTCTTACATACAATAGCGTGTTGGATAGGCCTACTGTTGTACTAGAAGTTTTGTTATTACTTGTATTAAACTAATTTACTTGTAATTCAGTCTTGATGTAAAATTTTGAAATTTTATTGAATATGTAATTGATGCTCAGCTCCTCATTGTTTAATCCTTACATTCTCACTGCAAAACTTTGACTGAAACAATGGAATAGTTTGATTTGTGCAAACAAATAATTAGAATTTATCATTGACATTGAACATTTTAAAGTGAAGTGATTAAATCTATTCATCAGAAAATAAAAAATAAATACATACATACAGGCTAAACAATGTTTAAACCAAATATGTTTGCTGCGTGATACTATTTATTCTTACTGAAGACTCACAGAGGAAACAGGCCAGACTGTAAATCCTGGATACAGAGGTTCCTCAAATGTGGTGTTGAAAGTGTGGAGGTGGATGAGTTTACCAGATATTACTCTGTAGAAGGACAGAATGCCAGCATCACAGTCCACATACACTGCTACCTTCTTGGAGACAGAGTAAGAGGAGCTCATGAACGATAGTAAAGAGTGGGGAGACAAGGATGAGATGCTTGTCCTTCTGTTGTTGTGCCAGACAGAGTAACCTTGACGAGTAGAACATTCCAGACTCCAGGACTGATCATTCCATCCAAAAGCAGATTGTTCAATGTTTTCTTTCCTTTCCGTTCCTCTATAACTTACTGATACAAATACAACTCCATTCCATTTAACCTCCCAGTAACAGCGACCTTTCAGACCATCTCTACACAGAAATTGAGGCCAGCAACACCCAAAACTCTCTTGATGGCCAGGATACTGATGCTCCCTCTGCTCATGGATCACCGTCTTGTTGTTCTCCGAGAGTTGAAGTTCTTCATTAACAGTGTTTGTATCGATTGTAAGTTGACAGGAATCTTTTGGAAAGAACAAACACAAGCTGCATGATTGATTTTTCACTTTT